ACAAGCGCGAGTAAGCCGTTGAGGCAGCGCAAATTCACTTTTTAAGTGACGTTTTCGTATAGTAGCTGTCGTCGTTGCGTAAACTCCCTATTAGATAGCAGCGTGGCCGAGGGTGGTTAGAGCGTTGAAGTCGCAATCAGGCCTGCGGCCTCGAGTTCAACTTCCCCGGCCCCCTAACTGCTAGCTGGATTTGTTCACCTTCATCTCCGGAAACCAATTGTCGACCACTCTTGTCATGAATAAGCCAAGTATTTTACCTCTGGCTAGTTAAAAATTCTTAAACCTGTTTTGTTCGGCTTAAATTATTTGTTTGATTCACTTTCTTTGCCCCCCCTCCCTAGCCTTTACCATATGAATACTGCTGAGGGTGTCGAAGAAAAAGGAAAGAAATATGTTCTATAGTTTTTGAACACCAGCATGGCGGGATTGGTTATCAGAATTTGCAGGAATTGGAAATGCTTGTCCGAGATGTTGGACTTGGTTTCGATTCGTTTTCAGTGAAATTCCTAAAGTTTTACAGCTGAATTCTGTGTAGCTTTAAACTCTTGTAGTAACAGGCGTCTGCTCCAACGATTTCTCTGAAAATCATTAACAAACTTATTTTATAAATAAAAGCTGATCACAAGTAAAATCGAATTATTCCGTATTATTGCCAAATGATAGCTGAAGTTCTTCGCAAAGTTTGGCAGCCATCTTGTGACATTATAAAATATTCTGTTGGTAAAAACCTTAAACGTTATGACCCAAAGTTCCTCATAGTTCGATGCACCTGATAACGACGGAGCCACCTGAATGTATAAATTTTCTTATCGTTCTTCTTGTTTTACATACATTACCGTAATTTACTCTTACACATCCCCCACCGCTGAAAGCGTTTTCCACACAAAAAAAGTATCGTTTAAGACAGACGAAAACAAACTTGCGAAAGCCTTTGCTTATGCATCCCAGTCTATGCATCGTTCTATTCTTTGAAGAAAAAGAATATTAAGAACAGGGAAGTAACTTAACACAAATCATCGAAGAAAACAGTAAATGTACCTGTGTTGTTAAAAGTATCTGCTACTCGCCAACCCAGACAACAGTCTCTTGAAAGGTTTTGCTTGATCCTATTGGAGGTCTTCTCGTTGTGAAAGAGGTTCCCTTTGAACCAGATAACAGAGTCGCTTGAAATTCTTACCTCGGTACCACGTGGGTCATTGTGAAGGTGGTACCATGCTAGGGCCGCCCTGAATGGGACAACTGAATGCGGTCACTCTCCCAACTTAACCGAATGTCACTGAGTGTCCTGTCTGAATAATTTTTCTTGCTTGACGTAAACTGGATTTCTCCGATCCCGTAAAATTAAATAAAAATTATCCGAGTATTTCAGTTTGGCAATTTCAACACACCAATTCAATGATTCAAGTTAATTCAAGTTAAAGTAGATTCTTCTTCCGCCATGGTCTTTGGTTTTCAGGGTAGTTACCTTCAAAGGCATGGAATTCTGACCTCATTATCCAATGGCATAAACTTTAAGTACGCGTTTTCCATTTGTCAGAAAGGGTCGGTCATACCATTCCTGACGTAATGAGAATTTCACGTCTAATTAAAAGTGTCTAGCCAGATCAGTCAATTTCTAAATAGTATGCATGAGATCAATCGGTTTTTCCAATTTAAAGCCTATTTCATTTTCGAAATGAACGGCTAAGCCAGCCAGTTCTTGGTGTCCATACACAGGAGCCAATGAGATAACGTCACTATTCCATCAACATGGGCGATTTCTTGTCTGTTCTTGGGGTACAGGTACCATGCGCTGTTGAAAGAGAAATTGTCTCAACGTCGTAACCCATGTTAAGTAAAAAAGCAGGCTATTTTTTGTCCTGACACCATTATTCTTAGTCAACAGGCGTCACGAAGATTACAAAATTTTCTTTTGAAAACAAAACGACACTAGAAAAGATTTAACAAAATTCTTAGCAAAAATGCTTAGCCTCGAAAACTCACGTGTGCGGCCAGTGTGTCCTTTGAGTGCCACCATCTATCATAAGCGACCATCTACCATACGCGACCACCTCCGATATGTTCGATCGCCTATCAACACAACGACATTTTACCAGTCAGATAGAGACCTGTAGATTGACCCTCTCGTAAGCTACCTCGATCACTTTACAGGGTGACCGGTTTTTAATTTTCTGTTATTTTAAACAGCTCTTAGGTGACCACTTAACATGGCCTGATCCAGGATGTTTGCAGTCTGTACTACGCTACCAGGAGTATGCGAGTCGAAGAACTTTTAGTGACAACATCAAACTACACATAACTTAAAAAGCCTAAAAACCGGCTTACCAAAAAAGTAGATCTGTAGATCGTTTCCTACGTGTGTCTGCTGCGCTTCTCGTAATCGACTATTAATTAATTCTTCGAATTTTGGGTAGTCACTTTCGAAAGGGCTCGACTATATATATTTTCCTTTAGAAGGAAATCAAGTCGTAAATAAGTAATGCCATGAAATTTCGATACCTTTGTCTCTGAGTACAAGGGAGGGTTAAAATGACAGAATGAAGGGTAAAGAAATGCCCTACACCATTGTTGCGTAACTGGTGCTAGAAGAATCTGGTATATCGAATGGAAAAAACATCAAATTGCAACCCTCAGTGCAATCGTTTTCCTGGAAGCACTAAGAGAATTCCTGGAGTTGCCTTCAAGAGTTACACGAGGCAGGAACTGAGAGGGGTGGGATAGGTATATATTCTTTCCTCTATCTCCATCTATTTTCACCAGTTTTAATGGAACGATTCTAATTACCTGAAGAAAATAGTTAGCTCACTTGCCCGAAAAATTCACCTGCCCTGGTTAAAAATAAAAGAAACCGGATATTCCCGAACAAAAATCTTGTGATTGAGTTCTATAACCAGGCAGCTAAACCTGCGAAAAGTTTAACCTTCACCGGTGTAATTAAGCAGTGCATTTAGGGTATTCAGGACTTAAATAACTTAAAACCAAAAAATAGCTTGCTTTTACAGGAGGACGTCTTTCTTATAGGTGAATCCTTGTTCACTTTTTTTGTCCATTAGCATAGGCTTTCTAGTTTCTGATGAAGCTTCTAAAATGGAATTCTTGAATATTGAAAGAGAATAACAATCTCAGTTCTCTCTGAAAATTTGTGCCCGATATACCAAATAGTTTCGGAGAAATTCTTTTGAAAACCCCAAAATTTACAAAAAATGTATGAGCTCATTAACGTTTTGCCACCCGGCAATTTTGCAGTTTTTGCAAGTTGCTGCTGTTCTCTTCGTTATTGATTGCAAAGAGTTGAAACTTGCACAAACTACTTGAGCCCTCCCAAAAACTTCACGAACCCCAAAAAGGGCGAAACAGCTGTCTATGGCTACAATCCCGCTCTGTTTTGAGTTTTTTCGGTGTCGTGTTGATGCCTGCAGAGTTAATTTTCACGTAGTACGATCAGCATTGCAGTATTCAGCTTGCAGAATTTAATATGTCTACACAAACTACATGTATAAATAAACCAGCACTTTTAATTTTTGCACCTAGTTGGTATATACGTCTACATCTTCTATGGGTAAATCGTATGCTAATGAACAAAAATGTAAACAATGACGTCACGACGAATCCACCTATATCGGAGCCAGTAAAATGACTGAGCCTCGTTTCCACTAAAATAAACACCCCACTGGTAGGTGACACATACCACAAACCAACTCTACAAGTTTCCTGACATTGATTAGAAGGTCTTCGTCTATCAAAATGCTGCTTACAAACCTTTCCTAACCCGATCATCGTATACATACGCGACTCTTAGTTTCCGAACTAAAATTCCTGCTTCTTTCCCAGGGTCCACTCTCCTCCTCCCTCCGAGGGAGCAGCGTCAGGTTGCAAGGTTTAACAAACATGGGATTCGCGTTGTGTTCGCACCAACGCATGTATTCTGTCGTGAGAAATGGAAAATTTTCTAATCTCGTTTCCAGACGGCCGCAAACCTTTTGGTCAGCACCAGGGGGACCGGCCCGATGCGCTGGACAAGGATAGTGCGTCCCCCTCACCTCCTTCTGATATCAAGCTACGTTCTGTTCTTTTCTTCTGTCGGCCTTTGTCGCGTTGCGTCGAGCTTGTCACGTGCGTGTTTCCTATCGATCCCAGTGCTCTTCGTCCTCTTCTGCGCATGACTGCTTTTGTCCCCAGAGCCACTCGGCTTAATTTGAAACGGACGAGACCACGTGACCAAAAGAAGCGAAGGGCTCTGGGAATGGCCTGAAGAGACGAGAGTACAAGGTCTAGAAAAGGTGTGGTGAAATTTATGATGCACGTTTTATGACGCACGTGCCTTATCAGATCACTTACGAATTACGCGACATAAGGTCACATGTATTGAACCGAGTAAAAAGAAGAATCCGTGCCGAAAGAGGCAGCGTCCGGTCACTGAGCGACGCACGTAAACCGGAAGTGACATTTTTGCATTCTTGGGTTGTGGTTTTGCCCAAAGTCTAGGGAAAATCGACTCTGAAAGAGAAAAATATCATAGCAATACAACTTTGTTAGCGTCAAGGCACAATAAACGGGAAAAGGCCTCACTCCTCAGTCCTGTTGACGTGCGTCGCTCAAAAGCGCCTTTTGTAATTAAGAACAAATACGCTTGGTGACACTCAAATACGCTTGGTGACACTCAATTTTGTTTTTACAGCTGTTACGGTCAGAATAAATGATGATTTTCAATCGAAATCCTGGGCTGTTTACTGGTGGCAAGACAAAGCATGACTATGGCGTCCAGATTCATTCCTAATCTTCCGTTTTTAGTCACGACTTTTGTTCATGTTACATGGTATTAGTTTTCTCTGACACGTTTCCTTTCTGCGAAGGTTGTTTTTCACTCTAAACCTTGACCCAGGGCCGATATATTGTAACATATGTCTTGTTTTGTCTCGTTAAGATCGTCCGATATTTTCGTTCTCTTGTATATAGTATAATGAAAAGACGTAAACAAAAACCATTTAAAATACTTGGATCAATGACAACTTTAAAACACAGGTTTAAATTTAAGTAAGCCTCAGGTTATACAACACAATGCAAATCTTTAATATATATCACGTGATATTTTTCTTAATTTCAATTGGTGGTTTTTTGGGAAGAATGTCGATCAGCTCAAACATCACAACAAAAACATTTCCTTCAAGTTTTGTTAGACAGTATCAATCAAAAGGATGAAAGTGAAAGGTTTGGGTTACGCCTTTTCGTAGAAAATAGCCTCTTGTCAAGGAAAGGTGTGTTCGCATCAAAATACTGGATCATTCGACAATCGATTTTTAAGCAACAGTGCATATTTTAAGCCCTGCTGATTGTCAAATTGCCCAGCCTTTATGACTCAACTTATAAGGACCTTGGTTCGATTGAACTTATACCTTATCTCTGAAGTTTGGCCTTTTTCGTGGATGGTTGCTTTCTACGGCACCAATTTCTCGATAATTGCCATTGGAATGTTCTACGTTATTGATTTTCGACGACTGCTTTGATGATCACATCGCCATTTCTTCATCACGACACGCGATTCAGCAACGCAGCAATCAAGGATCTCGTAGCTATGCTAACCGGTGGCTATTTGTTGAACTAGACAGTTTTTGTACAGAAGACGTTGTTCTAAGGTATGCTTATGCTTCAAGGAACCTTGATTGACCTGAATAGGCGTTTTCACACAAAGCTGAGAAAGTCACTTTTCTTGCCAGTGCGTCCTCCCCGCCATTTCTAATAAGCTTAAAGAAGGTCATTATTGCGAACCGCAGTTTACGTAGGCGGCATTTTAGAGCAAACAACCTTGTACAGCTGTGTCACGCGGTTTTCAGCTGGCAAACCTACATTCCAGAGGTAGAGAGTAACATTTTCTTCATCTGGGCGAACGGGAACTTTTGACACACTAAAACACGTAAAACAGTACCTTTTCCCAGCGTGGGATTTTCGAAAAAATGTTGAGTGAAATTGAATATGATCAAGAGCATCCTCGTGAGCTGATTAAATGTGTGCTTGTCGGAGATACAGGTGTTGGAAAGACCAGACTCATTTGTGCACAGGCTTTTGGAGTTGGTACACCAGCACCACAGGTCACCCAAAAGCAACACCTTCACTTTCCAACAGTATTTGCAATTGACCAATACCACGTCTCCCCAGAAATAAGAGATCGTGCCAACTTCAGAGTTGATGGAGTCGACATAGCACTAAGGCTCTGGGACACATTTGGTGATCATGAGTTCAACCGAAAATTTGCATATCAAAATGCACATGTGGTGGTGCTCTGTTTTGCAATCAACAGCCCTAACACCTTTAAAAATGTTAATGCTGTGTGGTATAGTGAAATCAAGAAGTACTGTCCAAGAACTCCCATTGTTTTGGTGGGAACTCAGTCAGACTGGCGACAGCATGTCAAAGTCAGCACAAGTGTAACTGTAAGCAAAAGCTTATCCAAGCGAATGCGAGAATGTTCCCTTGTGACACCTGACATGGGGCGCCAAGTGGCAAAGGAAATTGGTGCAACTTATTATGAAGCCAGTGTTGTAACCATGTGGGGTATAAATCATGTTTTTGATAATGCAGTTCGTGCAGCACTAAACACCCGGCGACATACCAGGTTTTGGTCATCTCACCTGAAGGGGGTCTTAAAACCACAACTTCAACCTCCATACCTTCCAGAGAAACCAGATTCCCCAGCTGTGAGTGTCAATTTACCTTCGTTATATAAAGAAAACTTGGCGAGGGTTCTTGATCTGGGGATGTGTGCCGATGTGGAGTTTCTGGTGCAGGGCCAGACCATCAAGGCACACAGGGCAATTCTGTCTGCTGCTGCACCAGCATTTGCAGAACTATTTTCTGCAAAGGAACTAAAAGTCACCAATAGTGGTGCACCCTCAAAGCTTGTGTTGCAAGATGCACTTGTGTTTGGAAAGCCGGGAAGTCTACCCAGGGGTTTTGTCGCCATTAGTTCCCGAAATAATTGGGTCAGTGAAGAACGTGGTGCCAGTGTTCTAGTCACAGTTGACAATTTTCTCTCTTTTGGAACATTCATGCATGTTCTTGAATTTCTGTACAGTGGCAACATTCCTCTGGAGGTTTGCACTGAGGAGCTTGAAGAAGCGGCTAGGAATCTTCAAATTGTTCACCTTGCTGAGTATGTTGCTAATGTAATTAACAGAATGGAGTACATGAATACTGAAGTTTATTCTAACATGGTGCGAGAAATGGTTTCTTCTGCAAAGAAACTTGTCAATTCCCAGATCTTCTCAGACATTGTGTTCAAAATTGAAGACAGAGTTGTTGTTGCACACAAGGCATTTCTTGTGGCACAGTGTGAAATGATGGCAGCCATGTTCATGACAGGGCACTTCAAAGAAAGTGGAGTTCAAGTGGTGAGCATTCTTTTTCAAATGAATGGTACAATTCTTTTTTTAATTATGCCAACCTTTCCCAAATTCACTCTTTAAAAAGACCCTTCCAGGGTTTTTTCAACTTTTGATGTGGACCAGATGGGAAAATCTGTTGACACCACTGGAAAAAGCACCTTAAAATTAGTACACTTGCCAAGTTTGTAATTGATAAGTCCCAATAGTGACCAAGATCAATTTTCTCCTAACAATATCCATTGGAGAATTTGTATGTTGATACTGGGGCTTAAAGAGTTAAATCAGGGAAGATATAGCTCCACAAAGTTACAAAAATTTACAGACATTTATGTAGTGAGGGGCATGTCCTAACAATAGAAACGTCTGTGAAATTTTGTGACTTTGAGTAGCTATACCTTTGTTACTTTTTAACAAATCATTTCAAACCTGGCAATTTTACTTATTTAACCCCTTCCCTACCAGAGTAAAATACACCCGGCGTCTGGTGGTCATTGTTCGAAGATTCACCTTGGTCTTCTTCAACATTTTCCTTCCGCGAAGACTCCTCATAGCGGTTTTCCTTTTTCCAATCACTTTTGCTGTAAAATCGCTTACATCAGAGTCCCCATCAGCGCAAATTTCAACTGGTGCTTCTCCACTCATTCTTTGTTGCCATGGCTTAGCCACCATGTTGGAAAAAGTATTGAGCTAAATACAATAAAAGCGAAGTGTATAATTGTCAGCGGCCTTTTATAAATTATTACTGCCAGACCTTTCTCAACGACCAGATTGAATTTATTCAAGCCAACTCAAACAACTGGACTCTTGGTGATCTCATTTGTATGAGGATGTATATATACGTCCTCGGTTGCTGGGTGACATATCTATAAATCCTTGGTAGGGAAGGGGTTAAAGGCGCTCTTCCCAGCAAAGTAGTCAGATTTTCCATATCAAAAGTTGAAAAAAACTGGAAAGGTAAATTTTGTTCTTGTTCCACAATTTTGGCACTAGTACTCACGTGCATAATCATTATGGGGCAGTGTAAAATGCAAACTGTGGACTGATTGCGGACTATTGTTTTTATGCCTAGAAAACAATGGAACTATTATTGTCACGTTCGCATTTGCGTGGTGGAAACAATAGTCCGCAGTCTGCGATTTACACTGACCTTAATCATTAAAGATTTATTTTAAGCCATACCCAGATTTTGGGCTAATAATATGTTAATTTACCTGTGGAAGACTTAGCATCACTATTATAGGATGTTTTTCACATTACAACCTAATGCCAAGTTTACCAGTTTGTAATGTGCACCCTTGTAAAATGCACACCCTAGATTTTGATTAGCTGTATTAATACTGATTTTTCACCTTATGGCTTCAAAGAAAAACTGGATAGCGGTTTTTAATTGTTGTTCAGTTGCAGTTTGTGTTGTCTGCTTGGTAACCTGGCACAAATTATTGAGCACAATTTATTGTTTGATAAAGATATGGTTCTTTATTTTGAAGGGCTGCAAGAACTAGTCTGAGTTTTTTTTATCAATGTTTCCAGTACATTTCCCATAGTTTTATCACCTTTCTTTGTGGATTATCTCATAGACTGAGATAGTGGAAAAGAGGGGGAGTTGGTTTGTTGCTGCAGTGGGCAATAAAATGTCTTAAGCTATTTTCAACTCTATTAGTTGTTAAACATGACTATTGGAGGTAGATATAGTCATGTTTGAATTTGTGTTTTCACAAATATGTTTTCTAGTATGCACCTTTTTACACTTAAAATTGCCTTTTTTTAGGTGGAATTCAAGGATACCAACTATGATGCCTTCCTGAGAGTCCTTGAATATTTATACACTGGCCAGTGCCCTTGCCTAAATTTGGACGAAACCATTGTTGTGATGGCTTTGGCAAACTTCTTCTGTTTGCCCAGGCTTGTTGCCCTTTGTGAGCAGATCATTGTCAAAGAACTTCAGGTTTCTATGGCAACTGATGAAATGGCTGTGGCTGAGGATATTATTGGTAAGGGATAAGTCTGTGTGCATGCCTGTGTGTTGGAAATTAATGAGTTACTGAGTACAGTGTGAATATAGACAGTAACTGGCAGGAATGGGTCGAATATAATTGTCTGTGTGCTCTGTGTATTCATGAATAGCGCTGTTGTTGACGGCAACTGGCATTTGACAACCTTTGGGTTAGTCATCATCAGAATAAAAAAGATTTGATAATGATGAGAGGTAAAAAAAATGATGAGTACCACACCAATACGTATGCCTAAAAGTTGAGAACTGGCAACCAGAATTTCAAAGCCAGTTGCTAGCACTCAGGTGACAGACTCAATAAGCTTCAACTGCAGTGTTTTTGAACAGCCATTGAGGATCGAAGGATATTGGTTCTCATTCAAACTTGAGTTGCATCTTATCCTGCCAACATTAGAGCCTCTTTGTAAATCAGCTGAGGATAACAGAAAAGAGGAATTTTGTGTAAAATGATATCCTTAACAACTGTATTTTACATATGTCTCCTGTCCAGAACAGTTGCATTGGGGCTGTTGAGGCTGCCATGTTGTTTATGGTGGATACCTCTGGAGATTTAATTCAAAGTTTAGATGTAAATTGGGTTAAAGAGAATAAATAGTTGTTCTCTCTGAATGGTTTATTCTTTGAAATGAAACCAGAAATTCTTAACATGATTAAGCAAGATAATACCAGACTGACGATGGAGCATAAAATAACTGAAACATTGTTTTTCTTTATTTGTTATTGTTAAAGAGCAAGAAAAAAATATTTGGCAAACACTTTTTGCTACCTGGCAACTGAATAATTTTATTTTGTCACTAGCTGTTGTCAAAAAGTTGTTTCAGACCATGTGTCGCTGTCAAAACAGTCCTGTTCAGGGTGCAAAGAAAGTCATTTTTACAGCTTGCCATTCAGGCTAGCTGTAGTTAGCTTGTACTAGCCCAAACATCACTTTAACTAGTCATGAAAACTTTTTGATGAGCAGGTTTGAATACACAGTCCTTCTGTAATCTGAATTCTCAAAAAGCTTCACTTGCCCATCGGGCAAGGTAAGAGCAGGAGTCACTAGCCTGATAACAAAATCCTGTAGCCCCAGGCTATCGGACAGTACTTTCTTTACACACTGCTGTTCAGGATCATACTCACCCGGATGACCGTGTGTCCATTTGTGGAATTGCACACATTTGAGACATCCTACTGATGAACAGTTACCACTTGAAGATATTTTGAGTAACAAAACTGTGCCATGTGTCCTCTTTGAATGTTCCACCTACTTTGAATATATTAACAATGTATGTGGAAAGGGGATTGTGATTTTTACTAGACCTTTACTTGTAGTCAGTATTGGGGCAGCATGTGTCCAATATTGACAAATAGCACAACCAGCATCTCTGGCTATTGTGTAAGAGTTTTAGTTAATACATGAAATAAGTAAGTTACCTTACCCTCAAATTATGAATACTTGCAGACTACCATTTTTAGAAGTAATTTCCTTTCTTAATTTCTTGTATTTGACTGTCATGTCTTCAGGGTATCTTCTTGAAGCTCAGATTCACAATGCATCTCAGCTAGAAGCGTGGTGCATACACTTCATTGCAACACACTACAATGCCATCTACAGCCAGTGTCCCAAACCTCTCAAGAACCTTGACAGCTCAACACTTATGGCCATAGAGAAGAAACGCTGGCCCCCACCATGGTATATTCTGGAGGCAGACTGGTATCAAAAGGCTGTCCAAGAACTGGATAATGAGAAAGCTGCAGACAAGTTACGCAAGTCACACAAACATGTGAGGCACAAGAGGAAGTGCAGCTGCTTGTGAACGTCCTGTCTCCAGAAGACTTCTGATGCTTTGAGGGCACTGGTAAAGCCAAGTATTACATGTACATCGTACATGCGATGCCTTGGTGTTTTCTAGCCGCATGTGTGTACCTGTTGAGTTTAGTGATTTTTTGAAAGTTTTAGATTATTTTTGCTTGCAAGTGTGTCATATTACTTGTGAGTGTTTAAACTTGACTTGGTGCTCAAGGCTTTGGAGTTCTGTGCCTTGATAAGTTATACCTGGCCAACTTTTTGGAGTCATACATGTAGGTGTGACATTTTTGTCTTGAGAGTGCCAAGACCCAGATATATATCAAAGACTTTAGAATACCTCCAAAGACTCTGAGGATTTCAGAAAGGCATTATGAAGAGTTACAAAGTTATTAAGAAATAAAAATCAAGAAAGCTTATTATTATTATCATCTATTCCCTGATACAGAGTTCTATAATCTGAGATTTCTGAAAATTACAATCATTTACATGCTCACTTAATGTATTTCTAGGCATGAGAAATTGGTCCACAGTTGAGTTGGTGTGAGATCAAAGTTTTTGATCCACCCACATGACACTCACACATGGGAGTTGGTACATGAAGTAATGCAGTGAGTTGCTTAGTTTTACAATCAGTAGCATTCATTGTATTTGCCATTTGCATTGTTGGGGATTTGAGGTACAGAAGAGGTATTAGTGTTGAAACAAAATTTAAGATGCATTTACAAATTTATTATTAGTCTCTTATACAACAAAATACATTTGGATATTCTTTACTCAAGTATGGGATGCAGACTTTACTGATATTATTTTCCTGTATTCTGTGATGCAAGGTTCTTTACAAAAGAATGCATTGCAAAAATTGCAGTTATTCAATTCCATACATTGCAACAGCTTCACAAAAGCATTTGGCATAATAACCTTCAGAGTGTTTGTTTTAGCAGTATTTATAGTACAGACAAATATGCTTCAAGGTCATTAGTTTTTCATAGTTAAAGGTATGGAGTTTCACTAAGGCAAGCTTGAGATAATGATTCAGGTCTTTCTCTTTTCCAGTCCCCAGCCCCATCAAGTATTGTTAATTCACTAGACCGCCATTACAACACAACCCCTAAGTTGTGTTCTAATGTTGGTCTGATCATGTTACGAAAATTATTTTTGCTCTCGATGTAATACACAAAAAATGGGGCCACAAACCGTAATGCGAGCTATAAAATTTAAAATGTTTGGAAAAATAAATTTAGGGCTGTATTCCAGACTATTGTACAGAGGAGCTCATGTGCATCCAGGAGATTAGCGGAACCATGTGGGGAATGGGGTTAAGTTGTGGTATGCTTGGCTAGCTGTTATCTTGGATTGGCTATAATAACATTTATCCATGGTAGAAAACACAATGATTTTATCAGCATGCCACTAAAGCCATTGTTGAGATTTTATAGTTTGCAGTTACGTTGTATGTTGGTTGGATGAAGAGAAGTGTGTCCACTACTGTAGGCTTGTTAGCCTTGTTTTCAACAAAAAATTAATTTCGTGTCACTCAAGTTTGTATCCTGTAAAAGGACCACACTGGTCAACCACCAGATGCTTAAATACAGTATTATTTCAAAATAAGCATTATCCTTTATTGACTTCATTTTAACAACCAAGGTACGTGTGCATAAATCATCATTTCAGCATTGAAAAATTAGCTGGTTATTGAAGTGTGTTCAAACTACTATTAAAAGTCAGAATCAATATAATAATTATTATTATTCATTTTATACAACAACATTGTAAGTAAAACTTACACAGAGCAGTGATGAGAAGATATACTCATAACAGTTTATTTGTTGATCTTGAGGTAATTAATTAACAATTATTCCTCGAGCCCGAATGGGCTCTGAGTCGATAGCCCATGAGGCCGAAGGCAGAATCGGCTATTGACTCAGAGGCCATGAGGGCGAGAGGAATAATTGTTTTAGTAAAATCCAACTAAATATCGAGACAAAATATCGAGACAAAACAACTTGAGCTAGCAAAACATGATTCAGCCACCATTGTTTCGGTTTTTAAAGCCCGGGCTTTTCGCTACTAGTGGGCTATAACATATAGCCTAGTAGTAGCTTAACCAATCAGAACACGGCATTGATAATAGACCACTAGTTGGATTTTACTAATACATATTATGAGAAGTAAATTATATACACATATTTGTTATATTTGTAAAACAGTGAACACTATTAATTCTGATTCATCTTTATACAAATAAGATTTATATATTCATAGTCATTAAAAAATTAATATAATAACATAAAATTATTATCCTAGGCAAGTGGTGTTGGTGATCTATTAAATTATTTCTAACAACAAAAATGACTGGTCATTGTTGCATATAAACAGCATTTTTCTAACTACTGGTACATGCTTTCAGTGGGTTTTTTGAGGTCACGTGACTTAACAGTTGAACTGTAGCCTGTGCCACAGATGAAACTAAACCTCTGGTTAAGTCTGTATGCAGGCTAGAGACAAAATCCTTGTTCTTGGTCCCTAAGATCTGAGTATGCACCATAGTTGACTTGTTAAAGAAGCCATAGTCTGTGTAGCAAACGTTTCCAGTTGAATTATTTAGCGAAAGTTGGAGCGGGAGCAAAAGAAATGGAAGATTGACGGGAGAGGGCAGGGGAGGGGAGTGGAATTCCTTCTCTCCCCTACCCCTCCATTGCTCAATTGCCAATAAGGTTGAAGGGAAATTCAAACATTAATGCACTTTTAGGGTTGGGGGGTTTGGGGGGAGGCAGAACAAAGACCTTGATTTTGTCTTCAGATTAACTGTCTGGTTACAAAAAGGCTCACGCCTTTTACTCATGGTATTTCACAAGATGAGTCCCATGACTTCCCCCTTTAATGCACCCATCAGAGCATACTCCTATTCCAATTCCCCACTATGAGACAATTCTTGGACCCACCCCTGATATCCCCCTGGGGGGGGGGGACTCCCTATAATGACCTATAAGGGGAGGCTGTACCCAAAAGGAGCACCTTTTTCAGGCTTCAGGTATACATGACTGTATGAAAGGGTAGGGATTTCACTGGTTGAAGTTTATGAAAGGAATTCTGTCATTTTGGTCTGTAACAAGTTGCAAAAGGACTAACAGGTGAATTTTATGGCTGTGAAGAAGTTCAGAAAATGTTCTGGTTTGAGGTTTATTCATATATCATAAAGACACTGCATTTACAGCAGTCAGGGTTGCCACTCATCAGGCCCCGGTTGTTCAAACGTTGGATAGCGCTATCCAGTGGATAAATCACTATCCAGTGGGTAAGTATTAGGGAAACCAGTTGTGTTATCCACTAGATAGATTTTTATTCGGTGGATAGCGCTATCCAACATTTGAACAACGGGGGCCAGAAAGTTAAAAATTCCTTGATTTTTCCTGACTTTTCACTGACCTTTAAACAGTTTTCACTAAGAAACAATTGATGTTTACATTTGCTTTAGATTGTTTTGCAGGCCATGGATATTTTTCTCTTCATTTTCAACCTCTTTCCACCAAGCGGAAAGAGGAAGAAGGAATTTGGAAGACAGCATTCACAACAAAACCACTGATCACAACTGTATCTGACGTAGAGTGTCAAATTGATCGCTTTGCTTGTTTTGTAGCATACTTTTCATCTTTTCCGAAAGAAAATACATTTCAAAGTCTTGAAAACTTTAGAACTATAAATGGGAAAACAGAATTCCCTGACTTTTCACTGACAGATTTTCCCTGACATTTTAAAAAAATTCCCTGACTTTTCCCTAACCCTGATTACAGTTAAAAGGGCTGAGCCTACCTGTACAAACCTTTGTCGAGTACCCCCACCCCCGTGCGACTAAGATCTGCTTTTCCTGCCAGGTCATGGCCCACACTAATGGACCTCTAATTTAGGAGGTATCATCCTTAGGACACTGTCACTTGCCTAAAATGAATAACATTCTTGTACATGTATCCTTATGACGCTGTAGTGTAGCTCGTAAGACACCTTCACTAATCTGAAATAAACAACACACTTGTACCGTCAGGGTCTTTGCATTCTAGAACACTGGAATTGTATTCTGGATAATTCTTTCTCCTTTTTACTCTTCATTTCTTTAATGACACTCATTCCCAGTCGATTGCAATGCCACTCAATAAGTCCGGCAACAGCCGATGCATCCACATGTAGTCGAGAGACACCTTCACTAATCTGAAATAAACAACACACTTGTACCGTCTGGGTCTTTGCATTCTAGAACATTGGAATTGTATTCTGGATAATTCTTTCCCACATCCTCCACACTAGATGAGACTTTAAGCTCCTCAAAACGCTGTGCAGAAACTATAAACGCGAGGGCAGTAAAGCCACTTTCATGGTTCAAGTCTGCAGTGTTGTACTTCCGGTCCGTACCAGGATAATGCTGTAACTCTAAAGTGGTGTAAGGCCTTTTCCAAAGCCACTCCCTGATTTCCACTGCGTTTACATCATCTGAAGGTGGCTTCTCGTCTGTACAGGCTAAGAAGTATAGGTTGAACATGTTTGGAATGCTCTGTATTGACAGTAACTTCATACCTAGTGTAGACTGGTAAAATTGAAGGCTTCGATTGATATCAGAAACACGAAGAGTGATTTGCCCGATGTGCGCTTGCTGCCCAAGCGCCAGGTTCGGTTCAAGAGAAGCTTGCACGCGCTCAGAACTAAAATTAGACTGGAAATCATGTTGCAGCAGCTCTAATGAAAATCCAAATGGGTCGCTTAAGTGGCACATGTATCCGATATCCCGGAACTGTCTTGGAGAAGTGACCTCCACGTCCTGACGTAAAAGCTTTGAACGAGCACTGTCTACATCTGCAAGTGATAATCCTATCTTCCAGTAAACATCAGACGATGGTTGCGGTTTGTAGTACTTTGGTGGTGTAGATTGCTTGAGGGACGAGCGAAATTCTACAACCGCTGATTGCGCCGCGTTCTGATAACCAACCCAGTGTATCAGCTCCTTTTCACTCTTTATTTCTTTAATGACACTCATTCCCAGTCGATTGCAATACCACTCAATAAGTCCGGCAACAGCCGATGCATCCACATGAAGTCGAGGAAATGCCAACTTCATTACGATTTTGGAGGTGAGAGAAGTTTTCAAAAGCGGTCAAACCGATGGACGCTTCCTTGTTGCACCTCTACTGAACGCTGACGGACTGGGACCAACCCCACAGGGCCACAGGCCAACCAAGCTCTATGCGCCCGGGTTTCGTCGTTCATGCACCGTTCTAATTTTGGACAGACCAACGGACTGACCTCATAAAAGCTCTACGTGAACACTGTACGTTTTTCAGGGTCCTGTGGCTAAACATTCGAGCCCTCACTTTGCTGACATTTAATCCGCTTAATACGAATACTTCGTTTTTACAGGACAGCTTTCTTTGTCCCTGGACAAAGCCCTTCCATTTTAACACCCATAATACGGACACCCGTTAATGTGGACAAAGGTTACTTTTTCCTACTCCAACAGCCATAGGTTCCCGACTCCAATCAATAGATTCACAGACCGGAGGAAGTTAACCTCGATAATATGACACAACCAGCTGTGTGCTGTATTAATTCTTGCCTCTGACGAAGTTATCCTCGTATATCAGCATTTCGATGTTTACAGTGCTACGGTAGACGGGATAAGATGAAGTGAAGACGTCAATTTCTGAATTTTTAAAGTAATAAATGAGTTTAATACACAGAGAACTGTTTTTGATTAAGTAATGGGTGCAAACCAAAGGACGTAGTCTGCGTTGAAACTAGTAATAGCGATTGTAGTGTACGTCTGGAACTTAACCTCCCTAGCGCGGGAAGTCTGGAGTCATGTGACTTTGCGGAGCCAGTGTGTTTTGTAGTGTAGCGGTGATGAGCTAAGTAGTGCTCGTGTTTACTAGACTATATGGCCTCGGTGGCCCGTTAGAAATACTACAGCAATGTTTTTTTTTAATATTTCCTCAGTATTTCAGTTGTTCACCAAAAGGAGTTTGTTTGTTTACTTCAATAACATGACCCGTTAAAAATTTTTTATAAGGACACTTTCTATACCCCCACCACCCCCCCCCCCGCCCCCCAACGTCCGTAGTAATAGGGTTCGACTGTATCTACTTTATATTTGGCTTTGAAAAAGAGTCGCGTAAATACAGCTATTGTGGGTGTTTCTCTTAAAGTAACTCTAAAGGATCCAATAAATCTGCAAACGTGTTTAAAGTTATATCCATTGTTCCCATTTTCTAGAAGCAAAAGATTGTCGGATATCACGCTTGGATCTAGTACAGTTATGAGAATTGACACATATTTAATTGAACTGTGACACGAGTGCTTAAAAAAGGTTATAAACCGGCGCAAGCAACTAAGCCCGATGTAAAGACTTCCAGCTGAGTCTTCAGTAAAAAGCGTCACTTTCAGAAGCGCGGGGATGATTTAGAAGGTCGCGCAGCATTACTGTGTAGAACTGGTAGCTTAGGAATAAGTTGTCTCATAACTGCATGTCCCCGAAAAAGGAACGAATACTTGAAAAATGAAATAGTAGTAGAGTCATTTCTATTAAGCCTCGCTTTACTGCCTGCTGCGAATTCTTCATTTTAACACAACTTGCCAGGTCTGAGTTCAAATCTTATCATAGTCAGTTTTCGAAACATTATATGTTTCAAGGGGATATATCAATATAAAACAGAGTCATCAGCATACAAGTAACTATAAAGCAAACTTCAGGACATTTGCAAATCATTCACATAGAATATAAACAATAGCAGGTTGTACCATGGGCAACTCCTACAGATACTGTAGCTTGGTTAGGCTGCATGGGTATTGCCATTCATGTTTGCAACTGAACCGTTTTAGTGTTTTCTCGTTCTTTCCATAGATTTGGGTGTTGAAAGCCCTTTCTATGATGTTGCAAAAAGTAGGCAAAATGGAAACTGACCCAAGATTTCTGTTTATTACCTTTCTTATGTAAGGGTACAACTTAGAATGAAGGGTACAACTCTCGAATTTTTCTAAGTAGAGGGAAAAGGTTCCTTTTATGGCGATATATAGGTGGTAGCGACGGCGTGCATGGACAGAGTCCTTGAGCAGGTGTGCACTATTTTTATACAGTCCAGTGGCTTTATTAAGTTTAACCGCTTGATAGCATCAGGTCTTCACTAATTACCCAGCGCCACAGACGAACCGAGGTTACGCAGGATATCACTAATTACGTATACATAGAATGAAAACTCGGGAGTCCTGTGCCAAGACCAGAATATCAGAGCTAAAATTAATTAATGAGGCTGCCAGTAGATAGTGATACGTTAGGGAAGATTTCGGCGATTTTCATACTGACGCTTACAAAAAAGGATTTAAGTGTCCTTATCAAGCGGGTTAAAATGTAAGGAACAAAGAAACAAAGAAAGCTGTCCGTAATAACGAAGCGTTTGTATTAAGCTGATGTTCGCAAAGCGGGACTCGAATGTATAGCCACAGGACCATGTAAAACGCACCGAGCTAAAAGCTTGGTATGCCTGTGGCAATACATGGTTGGTGCCATTGAGTAGACAACCACGGAGCTAATCATGTTCTAGTGCATTAGAATAGAGTGTGGAATCGTCCAGTCAACACCTGCTTATCTTTTCATTATTTATTAGAGCATTGTCTATAGCAATGTTTTGTTTTCCTCCTCAATTTAAGATTTAATTGCGGTTTACTAAGTTCAGTTGTGAAAGGGTTACGTACTCTGTTCTAAAAACATTTGCATAGAAAAAAATAATTAAAATTTGCTAACTTATCTTTGAATAATAGATGCTATTTTTTTTCAATTTACCCAATTTTTCATATCAAGAAGTTTCATAGCGAGTCTGAGCTAGCCCGACGACAATGGCCCATCAGGCTAGGCCCTAATATTTTGAAACAGAGTTATTAAAGATCATTAAAACCTTTCAACTTTAATTTATGCCAACTTTTGTTTACCCAAAAACGTTGTAGGAATCTAAAGACGGTATTAACGAGAGCACAGTTAACGCTAGAAAAGCTACATCTTCAATAGATGTGGAATTGTCTCTGTTTGTGCATATGTATGTGAAATATCAGTAAAATGTTTCCAACGATTGTTAAACTTTGTAGTCAGCAAAAAGAATAATTTAAGTTTAGACGTTAATGTTAAAATGCGACAGGTGATTTGGAACTGTTTACATGTATAGTATAAGTTACATCCCCGTTGTGGCTTAACCGCACTTAATGCACTCGACTTTTCAGGAGAGTTGCGTTCCGCGAACAAGGCAGCGATCATGGGTGTTGTTCTTCACCACAGTATTTTCTTTATGCTGTACATGAATTCTTTAAGAATTTGCTTCGGCTGTTTGGATGGTAAGTTCTTCTCTTCCCGCCTTGTTGTTTCAATCATATTTGACTCGCTATTTTCAAAAATTGAGCGTCAAAATAGTGACAAACACATTTATCTCTTGAAAGAAGATAAAAAAATTATTATAGTTAGCTAGACTGACTTTAAACAAGAGTAGCTGCAAAACTTTCTGCTCTTGTATACTGCCCATAAATGTGACTTTTAGTACAGCTTACGGTTAATTTCTCTTCTTTTCTAACAGAAACATGCAAAAAAAATCACTTCACCTGCAAAAAGTTCCGCAAAATTATTTTTCGTGGTTGCAAAATTGCTTAAGGCTCATAGGACTCCAAGGACCTTACCTTTCCCGAATATAAAGAACCATGTCTGTTAGCAACAAGGGGAGAACACGTAAAAAGTTCTAAACAAGCGTTTTCGAAACTCTCTAAATAACAAATTTTGGTTAGGGACCGGCTTAATTTTTACACTGTTAACCTCTTTTACAACTACTAGCGATTAACCCCATCTTTGTAGGCTTTCTTTGTTTATTTAGCCTGTCTGCTCGCCGCAAAATGATTGCTCTACAAGAATCTAGTTACAGAAAAGAAAACAGACTGTGGCTATTATTAGCTAGGAAAAATAATAAATAAAAAAAGGCTGCTAACAATGTCAGTGTGCGAGGAGCTTTTCTAGTCCCTTTTTATTCCTTTTCGTTTCTTATCACTTCCCTTCGGAAGCCCAAGATTCCTCAGTATCTGTTCTTAATTATCTTTATTTTTAGTTTGGACCCATACCATATTTTAAAACATTCTACGTTAATACGACCCTGTACCCCTCTTTTACGTTGACGAATATTTTTCTGGCTCGAAAATGTCTTGTATTCGAAAACCTCGTTGAATATGACCACCTTTAAGGATCCCCAGACGTTACCTTCTTTACAATTTTAACTCGTTTATACGAACAACAGCATAAAACAATAATCTCGGCCGGATGGCAATTGAGGGAAGCCAGACGCAATCAGTTTGAAAATCTACATCAGTTTTATCTTACTGAACGTTGTTACAAGAACATAATTGAGCGTCCCAGTTATGTGTAAAATCCGGCAGATTGATAGACTGGTGAAATTATCCTTTGTAACATTTATTTTAGAAAGGCTCAGTGTAATATGGGTTGTACCACGTTGATGGGTTTTTAAAGCCCAACGGTCATCGTAATAATGGGAATTTTATTCCACTCAACTGTCCTTGTTTCCTTTTTGGTCAATTTAATATGTTTAAGACGTTCACTGAATGCCTTTTTTCAGAATAAATATAAACGTTCTCATGGACGAAAAACAAGCGAAATACCAAGCTAAAGGTTATTTAGTTTTGTCCTCCTTGGGCGTGAGTCAGTGTTAATTACCATTCTAGACATTGCCTTTTGAATTCAGAAATTCTTTCGATATCATGACATCTATTTTATGTTTTACTCCATTTAATATAAGAATTTGTTTATTCATTCATTACAATCAATCCATGAAGCTGCTAACAGACTGACTGAATAACATGGCAACTTATTAATAAATACTGAATAAGAGGAAATAAGGGTAAACACATCCTGCTGCACATAATTAACAAAGAGAAACTTGCTAAGAAACCCGAATTGTTGGCAACAATTCTGTTTGCTTGTTAACGGGAAAACATTTCCTCAGCAAACACCACGCGATCGTAATGTTGGCTTTTTTAATAAAAATTGCAGAAACTTCCCATGGATTTGTTATTGTCGTTAAGGCAGAGAAGACCGTGAGAAGGTTTTCCCAATTTTATGCGATTTATTGTAGCTGTGTCGTCTATCCAGTGCCTGAGTTTTGCTATTTTGTTCAATTATAAAGTTTACAGCGGACTCAATAACAACATGGAAACCTATTTAAAAGTTAAATAACAGGAGATAATTGGAAGAAATTTTTTAAGAAATATAAAATTGAGTTTCGATATTGTCACCACAGTTTAATACTTGGATTATAGACTTGTCAACAAAAAGGAAGTTGCTGGGAAACAAAGAATTCTGTTATTTGCGTCATACGAGGAAAATATTTTCGCAATAAACACGACAGTTTACCACTTTTCAAGACAGGTGGGAATACCATCTACCTGTTTTTCTTTTTTCAGCATTTTAATTGGCTTTTACTAAAAATGAATTATCGTATATATTCCTACAAAAGGAGGTTTTCTTTATAGAGCTCGACCAATTGACAGAAAATTGAAATTGGCCTAGAGAACTAAGTTAATTCCATCTCTTTTTGTCATTATTTGATGTACATTGCTGTTTTAAACCAGTTTGAAGCAATTCCAAGAAAACCCCAGCAAGACAGTTTAATTAACATATATGGTAGTTTCATGATTAAATGTCAGATAAAACATAGCTTGAAGCTAAGGAGGATAACCGAAGATATATAAGTTATTACGTTCCATGAACTTCAATCTTGTTTATAAAGGACAGTTGCTTTTAATTGAAGGTCTTTTTGCCGCCAGAAAAGGTCAGAATTGGCCACCTTATGAGCTCCTGGAATTGTTAAATGCAATTTTTTTCTTTCTTCAATTCAGGTAATTGCCGCGTACTGGCGTTTCCGAGTTATTTCCTAATTGCTGACAAATGTTTGGAGGGCCACACGTTCTTAATTGTCCAAGATGTCCCGGATATGGGTCTTTGTGAACTGCTTTGTTACAACCAACCAGACTGCGTCAGTGTTAATTACGAGATACAAACACAAAGACGATGTGAACTGAACAATTCAACACACCGAGCGCACGATGAGGACTTTAAAGAGAGGAAAGGCTGCTTATATCATGGAGCAATTGTAAGTTTTTTGTCTTTTCTTTTCTCGTCTTCTTTTTCTTTCATCATCATCATCTTCAAGGCAATCATCATCCCACTGTCGACATCTTCATCATCATCACAATGGTCACCATCTTCGACATTAGAGGGAGCTTAAGCAACGACGAAGACGACCGTTGCGAAAACGTCTCTCAAAGAGTGAATTCACGCTGTATTAAAATCTATCGTTTTTATTGCACGTCATCATAGGCGTACGGGCCGGGGGGGCGAGGGGGGCTGCAGCCCCCCCAAATTTTGGGCAACTCAGATTTTTTGGGCAGCGAGAGAAAATTTGGGCAAAGCCAGTTTTTTAAGACGTTTCCGTGTTTTTTAAATTATTATTTTGAAGAGATAAATATTTTCTATTTTAACCTGAAGTTGGCGTAATAATCCAGTACTGTTACATTCACACGAGACAGTGGTTGCCTAGCACGTAATGAGTTTCTGGTTATAAGCGAAGGGTATCATGTGCTGTTTTTTTTTTACTGTTGGGTACTGTACTGCAATGGGCTATTTCCAGTCGTGAATTGATTAGAATAAACTTCCGCCTAACTTTCTAGAATCATCTCCACTCGTAGAACAGTGTATGGCAGATAGCATCAGCAATGGGTCTGAAAGTGAAGAAGTGGCTGACTAATTCTCAGTTTGAATTACGCTAAAAATCGTATTTTTTTAACAAAAAAATCTATCGAGTAGTTTAAAGATTTTTCACTAATTTGTTAAAGTAGACCGAAATGTATACAAAACCGCTAACAAGAGCGCCATGATACATACTAAATACTCAAATCCTTTTTTGGCCAGAGCTATCACCATGATCTTTTACCCACTTTTTAAAAAAGATTGAAACTACTATGAGGAGAAATTGCATGTCAAAAGCGCTTCGTTTTCTACAGATAGCGGCCAAACATCAAGATTTTCCTTTTTTACAGCATTTCTAACGATAGAAACTTTATCCCAAAATATCTCCGCAACGCTCTTACAGATTCCGTTTTAACTTCACGAACATCGAGGCGACTATTGGAGGAAAATGCTTCCGTGAACGATTTTGGAAGAACAGTTCCCAGTGAGAGATGTTGCTGCAAGTATAATAGGTAATGGCATCATGTGGTTGCTATGATAACTCCGATGTTATTGCAACCCTGATCATAACAAATTTTCATCTTTATCTAATACAACTGTGGTGGCAATTTTTCCAAATGTTTGTTTATGGTGTCGTAGTCTATGCTAAAAAAAAACTTCATAGATATTGACCCTGAAAAACTGTCTCGAGCCACTTTCATGTGTTAGTACGGCCTATGTTGTTGCATCGTACGGCCCTCGTTTCTGTTCGACGGTTTTGTAAAAATTTGGGCAACTTGCAAGAATTTTTTGGGCAAATGGTTTACCGCCCCCCCTGACAAAAAATTGCCCGTACGCCTATGCACGTCATTCAATTGGTCACCAAATGTTGGTGAGTTTTTCTGGAGTCGCATTGTAAAGGACTGTATCTAAGTTAAAAAAAAAATAATAATAACAATAAAATAAAGAATCGTTGTCTTGTGTTCACGTCCCGGTAGAAAAGGTGAAACTAAGAAGTTCCACGTGGTAGTCGTGCAACGAGCGCAGGGAAATGTACAAAAAACGTGATTTAGGTGCAAAGTTTTTTTTTTGCTAATCTTAATCTATTTAACCTATTTGCGTTTTCCTTGCCTTTGACGTCGTCGTTGCTTAAGCTCTCTATAAATAATTATTATCATCAGGATCGAAATAATTACCATTGTCGTATCATCATCATCATCATCTTGTAGTTTGTAGTTGACGCTCTATCATGACGGTTTAACGTAACTTCTTCTCTTACAATTCAAACCTGATTTTTGTTCTTTCAAAGAGTGCTTGTGATACTCCCCGTTGCCAAAACAACGGTACCTGTCAGTCTGGATTCACAGAGAAAAAATATCGGTGTTTATGTCCTTCTGGTTTCACTGGTGAACAATGTGAACATGGTAAGCTGTTCTTGAAAAGACTTTACCTTTATGCAAATAATCAAAGGTTCGTTAATCGTAATCAAGCTTGGGCTGTCCTTTGTCATTTCCTACGGCAGTGTACAAAACGTTTACGTAGCGAACATTTTAAGATTTTGCTAGCCTCTCGTTTCAATTGGTTTATTAACTGTCATACACTTTCAAATGCTATTTCCTTAAATTTTTGCGTTTTGTTTCCGGTAATCCTAAGTGTGTTTTTTGATTATTTGAGTTGAGTAATTTTAGAGCTTGTTTTTGAGTAGAAACAGTTCGTAATTGAAGGCCTTTCTTCAAGAGCATTTCAACTCTAAACCAAGAAAACGTGATATGGCCTGAGCGTTGATTATACCTCTAGGCTCGTTGCTAGGAAGCTCACTTGATTGAGCTCTCGAGGTAGGGGGGAAGGGGGGTGGCGGGGGGGGGGGGAGGGAGTGGGAGAATTCCATATAAAATTCTCGTCGGAAAATTGGAATGAAACCGGCCCCTAAAGGAAACTTACCCAAATACCCAAATAAGTTTTTTCGAGGGAATATAACGGGGCTATAAGTTGACATACAAGGAACATGTCAATGTCAAACATCGAAACTGTGGGTCCAACCATAACAATTTAATAAGTTTATTCGTAAAAGTGAAAAAAAAAAATGAAACAAAAACAATAAGTCAATGTCTTAACAGACAGAGAAAGATGGCTTCACCTTGGAGTCGACACCATTTTTCTCGGCTTGCTGCTAATACTGTTATCATCTTCTAGTGACCTCATCTCTTGATTTCATGCACTGTAGATAAAAACGGGGAAAAGTCTAAAACACACAATGGGAACTTATTTTTTGCAATTATTGGTCAATATTATTTCAGACATCAATGAGTGTGAAGGAGGAACTCACAATTGCAGTTCTAATGCGGTTTGTAACAACACCAAAGGATTCTATAACTGCACATGTAAACCAGGATATGAAGGGGACGGAAATAATTGCACAGGTGATATTTTTCGTACTTTAAGTCATTTTGAATGCCATCGAAAGCATTGCTGTTTTTTTCTATCATAAGACGCTCTTTTTATAACTTCTTTGCTAGATAGTAGACCATATTACCTCAAAAATTTAGGGGAAAGGTGAATGCTTAACACTGACCTTGTATTTTAAATGTTTTGTCTACTAACATGGCCGGCATCAGAAACTTTGCCTTTTTGTTTTTTTTCATACATTTCTTTTAAAACTTTCTTCTCAGTGCTGGCCTAACTTTTTAGAAAGCTTAGAGGAATTCACTCTGCAAACTAATCCAGTCTCTATTGTTCTATATGATTTCAGACATCAATGAGTGTGAAGGAATAACTCACAATTGCAGTTCTAACGCGGTTTGTAATAACACGAAAGGATCCTACAACTGCACATGTAAACCAGGATATGAAGGGGACGGAAATCATTGCACAGGTGAAATTTTTCGTACTTTAGTCATTTTGAATGCCATCGAAAGCATTGCTGTTTTTATTTTTCTATGATACGATGCTCTTTATAGGAATTCTCTGCTAGATAGTAGACCATATTACCTCAAAATTTAAGTGCGCAGGTTAATGCTTAGTACCTTGTATTTTAAAAGTTTTGTCTCCTACCATGGCCGACATCAGAAACTTTGCTTTTTTGTTTTTTCTCAAACTTTCCTTTTCCAACTTTCTGCTTAGTGCTAGCCTCACTTTTTAGAAAGCTGAGACGAATTCGCTCTGCAAACTAAGCCAATCTCTATTGTTCTATATGATTTCAGACATCAATGAGTGTGAAGGAAAAACTCACAATTGCAGTTCTAATGCTGTCTTTCACAACATCAACGGATCCTGCAACTGCACATGTGAACCTGGGTACTTGGGAGACGGATGGAACTGTACAGGTGATGAATACACAAATACATAAGGGACGTTCTGGTTAATGGGGGAAGTATCCTGACAAATTCGAGTTTTATTCGTGAAAGCCGTTAAAGCAAATTTGGAAATAATGACCTACTTTGGAAATGACGCAATACGGTGTTAACGTTATACTAACAATTATGGGTGATAAATGACAAAAGAATTAAATTCGGGTGGCTCTTATGGTATCTTGGGAGACACATTCATACGCTTAGTGAATAAAATGGAGGGTCAGTCCAAAAATCGATTGCGGGTCTATAACAAGCAAATAAGACGACGCAGGGACAATAAAAGGGTCTTAATTACCTTTGCTTTTGCAAGAAAGAATATTTTACCTCCAGAATAAGTAGATTTTAATTTTTCATCGATTGAGAACTCTCAGTTATTTACATGTAATTTAAAACTTATTTCAGATATCGATGAGTGTCTAGTAGATACACACCACAATTGCAGTTCTGATGCATTTTGTAATAACACCCACGGATCCTACAACTGCACATGTAAACCAGGATATGAAGGGGACGGAAATAATTGCACAGGTGATATTTTTCGTAATTTAGTCATTTTGCGTGCCATCGAAAGCATTGCTGTTTTTATTTTTCCATAATAAGATGCTCTTTATCAATTTTTGCTAGACAGTAGACCATATTACCTCAGTTCAAATCTTAAGCGGAAAGTTTATGACGCTTTGTACCTTGTATTTTAAATGTTTTGTCTCCTAACATGGCCAGCATCAGAAACTTTGCTTTTTTGTTTTTTCTGATGCATTTCTGTTACAACTTTCTTCTCAGTGCTGGCCTCACTTTTTAGAAATCTGAGAGGAATTCACTCTGCAAACTAAGCTTATCTCCATTGTTCAATATGATTTCAGACATCAATGAGTGTGAAGGAAAAACTCGGAATTGCAGTTCTAATGCGGTTTGTAATAACACCAAAGGTTCCTACAACTGCACATGTAAGCCAGGATATGAAGGAGACGGAGATAATTGCACAGGTAATTTCTTTCATAACTAAGTCATTTTGCATACCATCGAAAGCATTGCTGTTTTTATTTTTCCATGATAAGAGGCTCTTTATAGCAATTCTTTGCTAGGTAGTAGACCATATTGCTTCAAAATTTTTAGTGGACAGGTTAATGCTTAGTACCTTGAATTTTTAATGTTTTGTCTCCTAACATGGCCGGCATCAGAAACTTTGCTTGTTTGTTTTTTCTCATGCATTTCTTTTACAACTTTCTACTTAGTGCTAGCCTCACTTTTTAGAAAGCTGAGACGAATTCACTCTGGAAACTAAGCCAATCTCTATTGTTCTATATGATTTCAGACATCAATGAGTGTGAAAGAAAAACTCACAATTGCAGTTCTAATGCTGTTTTTCACAACATCAACGGATCCTGCAACTGCACATGTGAACCTGGGTACTTGGGAGACGGATGGAACTGTACAGGTGATGAATACACAAATACATAAGGGACGTTCTGGTTAATGGGGAAGTATCCTGACAAATTCGAGTTTTATTCGTGAAAGCCGTTAAAGCAAATTTGGAAATAATGACCTACTTTGGAAATGACGCAATACGGTGTTAACGTTATACTAACAATTATGGGTGATAAATGACAAAAGAATTAAATTCGGGTGGCTCTTATGGTATCTTGGGAGACACATTCATACGCTTAGTGAATAAAATGGAGGGTAAGTCCAAAAATCGATTGCGGGTCTATAACAAGCAAATAAGACAACGCAGGGACAACAAAAGGGTCTTAATTACCTTTGCTTTTGCAAGAAAGAATATTTTACCTCCAGAATAAGTAGATTTTAATTCTTCATCGATTGAGCACTCAGTTATTTACATGTAATTTAAAACTTATTTCAGATATCGATGAGTGTCTAGTAGATACACACCACAATTGCAGTTCTGATGCATTTTGTAATAACACCCACGGATCCTACAACTGCACATGTAAACCAGGATATGAAGGGGACGGAAATAATTGCACAGGTGATATTTTTCGTAATTTAGTCATTTTGCGTGCCATCGAAAGCATTGCTGTTTTTATTTTTCCATAATAAGATGCTCTTTATCAATTTTTGCTAGACAGTAGACCATATTACCTCAGTTCAAATCTTAAGCGGAAAGTTTATGACGCTTTGTACCTTGTATTTTAAATGTTTTGTCTCCTAACATGGCCGGCATCAGAAACTTTGCTTTTTTGTTTTTTCTGATGCATTTCTGTTACAACTTTCTTCTCAGTGCTGGCCTCACTTTTTAGAAATCTGAGAGGAATTCACTCTGCAAACTAAGCTTATCTCCATTGTTCAATATGATTTCAGACATCAATGAGTGTGAAGGAATAACTCGCAATTACAGTTCTAATGCGGTTTGTAATAACACCAAAGGATCCTACAACTGCACATGTAAACCAGGATATGAAGGAGACGGAGATAATTGCACAGGTAATTTCTTTCATAACTAAGTCATTTTGCATACCATCGAAAGCATTGCTGTTTTTATTTTTCAATGATAAGATGCTCTTTATAGCAATTCTTTGCTAGGTGGTAGACCATATTGCTTCAAAATTTTTAGTGGACAGGTTAATGCTTAGTACCTTGAATTTTTAATGTTTTGTCTCCTAACATGGCCGGCATCAGAAACTTTGCTTGTTTGTTTTTTCTCATGCATTTCTTTTACAACTTTCTACTTAGTGCTAGCCTCACTTTTTAGAAAGCTGAGACGAATTCACTCTGGAAACTAAGCCAATCTCTATTGTTCTATATGATTTCAGACATCAATGAGTGTGAAGGAAAAACTCACAATTGCAGTTCTAATGCTGTTTTTCACAACATCAACGGATCCTGCAACTGCACATGTGAACCTGGATACTTGGGAGACGGATGGAACTGTACAGGTGATGAATACACAAATACATAAGGGACGTTCTGGTTAATGGGGGAAGTATCCTGACAAATTCGAGTTTTATTCGTGAAAGCCGTTAAAGCAAATTTGGAAATAATGACCTACTTTGGAAATGACGCAATACGGTGTTAACGTTATACTAACAATTATGGGTGATAAATGACAAAAGAATTAAATTCGGGTGGCTCTTATGGTATCTTGGGAGACACATTCATACGCTTAGTGAATAAAATGGAGGGTAAGTCCAAAAATCGATTGCGGGTCTATAACAAGCAAATAAGACAACGCAGGGACAACAAAAGGGTCTTAATTACCTTTGCTTTTGCAAGAAAGAATATTTTACCTCCAGAATAAGTAGATTTTAATTCTTCATCGATTGAGCACTCAGTTATTTACATGTAATTTAAAACTTATTTCAGATATCGATGAGTGTCTAGTAGATACACACCACAATTGCAGTTCTGATGCATTTTGTAATAACACCCACGGATCCTACAACTGCACATGTAAACCAGGATATGAAGGGGACGGAAATAATTGCACAGGTGATATTTTTCGTAATTTAGTCATTTTGCGTGCCATCGAAAGCATTGCTGTTTTTATTTTTCCATAATAAGATGCTCTTTATCAATTTTTTGCTAGACAGTAGACCATATTACCTCAGTTCAAATCTTAAGCGGAAAGTTTATGACGCTTTGTATGGCCAGCATCAGAAACTTTGCTTTTTTGTTTTTTCTGATGCATTTCTTTTACAACTTTCTTCTCAGTGCTGGCCTCACTTTTTAGAAATCTGAGAGGAATTCACTCTGCAAACTAAGCTTATCTCCATTGTTCAATATGATTTCAGACATCAATGAGTGTGAAGGAATAACTCGCAATTACAGTTCTAATGCGGTTTGTAATAACACCAAAGGATCCTACAACTGCACATGTAAACCAGGATATGAAGGAGACGGAGATAATTGCACAGGTAATTTCTTTCATAACTAAGTCATTTTGCATACCATCGAAAGCATTGCTGTTTTTATTTTTCCATGATAAGATGCTCTTTATAGCAATTCTTTGCTAGGTAATAGACCATATTGCTTCAAAATTGTTAGTGGACAGGTTAATGCTTAGTACCTTGAATTTTTAATGTTTTGTCTCCTAACATGGCCGGCATCAGAAACTTTGCTTGTTTGTTTTTTCTCATGCATTTCTTTTACATCTTTCTACTTATTGCTAGCCTCACTTTTTAGAAAGCTGAGAAGAATTCACTCTGCAAACTAAGCCAAACTCTATTGTTCTATATGATTTCAGACATCAATGAGTGTGAAGGAAAAACTCACAATTGCAGTTCTAATGCGGTTTGTCACAACATCAACGGATCCTACAACTGCACATGTAAACCTGGATACATGGGAGACGGATGGAACTGTACAGGTGATGAATACACAAATACATACGGGACGTTATGGTTAATGGGGGAAGTATCTTGACAAATTCGAGTTTTATTCATGAAAGCCGTTAAAGCAAATTTGGAAATAATGACCTACCTTGGAAATGACGCAATACGGTCTTTATAACGTTATACTAACAATTATTGGTAATAACTGACAAAAGAATTAAATTCGGGTCACGATTATGGTATCTTGGGAGACACATTCATACGCTTAGTGAATAAAATGGAGGGTTTGTCCAATAATCGATCGCGGGTCTATAACAAACAAATAAGACGACGCAGGGACAATAAAAGGGTCTTAATTGCCTTTGCTTTTGCAAGAAAGAATATTTTACCTCCAGAATAAGTAGATTTTAATTTTTCATCGATTGAGCAGTCTCAGTTATTTACATGTAATTTAAAACTTATTTCAGATATCGATGAGTGTCTAGTAGATACACACCACAATTGCAGTTCTGATGCATTTTGTAATAACACCCACGGATCCTACAACTGCACATGTAAACCAGGATATGAAGGGGACGGAAATAATTGCACAGGTGATATTTTTCGTAATTTAGTCATTTTGCGTGCCATCGAAAGCATTGCTGTTTTTATTTTTCCATAATAAGATGCTCTTTATCAATTTTTGCTAGACAGTAGACCATATTACCTCAGTTCAAATCTTAAGCGGAAAGTTTATGACGCTTTGTACCTTGTATTTTAAATGTTTTGTCTCCTAACATGGCCAGCATCAGAAACTTTGCTTTTTTGTTTTTTCTGATGCATTTCTGTTACAACTTTCTTCTCAGTGCTGGCCTCACTTTTTAGAAATCTGAGAGGAATTCACTCTGCAAACTAAGCTTATCTCCATTGTTCAATATGATTTCAGACATCAATGAGTGTGAAGGAAAAACTCGGAATTGCAGTTCTAATGCGGTTTGTAATAACACCAAAGGTTCCTACAACTGCACATGTAAGCCAGGATATGAAGGAGACGGAGATAATTGCACAGGTAATTTCTTTCATAACTAAGTCATTTTGCATACCATCGAAAGCATTGCTGTTTTTATTTTTCCATGATAAGAGGCTCTTTATAGCAATTCTTTGCTAGGTAGTAGACCATATTGCTTCAAAATTTTTAGTGGACAGGTTAATGCTTAGTACCTTGAATTTTTAATGTTTTGTCTCCTAACATGGCCGGCATCAGAAACTTTGCTTGTTTGTTTTTTCTCATGCATTTCTTTTACAACTTTCTACTTAGTGCTAGCCTCACTTTTTAGAAAGCTGAGAAGAATTCACTCTGCAAACTAAGCCAATCTCTATTGTTCTATATGATTTCAGACATCAATGAGTGTGAAAGAAAAACTCACAATTGCAGTTCTAATGCTGTTTTTCACAACATCAACGGATCCTGCAACTGCACATGTGAACCTGGGTACTTGGGAGACGGATGGAACTGTACAGGTGATGAATACACAAATACATAAGGGACGTTCTGGTTAATGGGGGAAGTATCCTGACAAATTCGAGTTTTATTCGTGAAAGCCGTTAAAGCAAATTTGGAAATAATGACCTACTTTGGAAATGACGCAATACGGTGTTAACGTTATACTAACAATTATGGGTGATAAATGACAAAAGAATTAAATTCGGGTGGCTCTTATGGTATCTTGGGAGACACATTCATACGCTTAGTGAATAAAATGGAGGGTAAGTCCAAAAATCGATTGCGGGTCTATAACAAGCAAATAAGACAACGCAGGGACAACAAAAGGGTCTTAATTACCTTTGCTTTTGCAAGAAAGAATATTTTACCTCCAGAATAAGTAGATTTTAATTCTTCATCGATTGAGCACTCAGTTATTTACATGTAATTTAAAACTTATTTCAGATATCGATGAGTGTCTAGTAGATACACACCACAATTGCAGTTCTGATGCATTTTGTAATAACACCCACGGATCCTACAACTGCACATGTAAACCAGGATATGAAGGGGACGGAAATAATTGCACAGGTGATATTTTTCGTAATTTAGTCATTTTGCGTGCCATCGAAAGCATTGCTGTTTTATTTTTCCATAATAAGATGCTCTTTATCAATTTTTTGCTAGACAGTAGACCATATTACCTCAGTTCAAATCTTAAGCGGAAAGTTTATGACGCTTTGTATGGCCAGCATCAGAAACTTTTTTTTTGTTTTTTCTGATGCATTTCTTTTACAACTTTCTTCTCAGTGCTGGCCTCACTTTTTAGAAAGATGAGAGGGATTTACTCTGCAGACTAAGCTTATCTCCATTGTTCAATATGATTTCAGACATCAATGAGTGTGAAGGAAAAACTCACAATTGCAGTTCTAATGCTGTTTGTAATAACACCAAAGGATCCTACAACTGCACATGTAAACCAGGATATGAAAGAGACGGAGATAATTGCACAGGTAATTTCTTTTTCATAACTAAGTCATTTTGCATACCATCGAAAGCATTATTGTTTTTATTTTTCTATGATAAGATGCTCTTTATAGCAATTCTTTGCTAGGTAATAGACCATATTGCTTCAAAATTGTTAGTGGACAGGTTAATGCTTAGTACCTTGAATTTTTAATGTTTTGTCTCCTAACATGGCCGGCATCAGAAACTTTGCTTGTTTGTTTTTTCTCATGCATTTCTTTTACATCTTTCTACTTATTGCTAGCCTCACTTTTTAGAAAGCTGAGAAGAATTCACTCTGCAAACTAAGCCAAACTCTATTGTTCTATATGATTTCAGACATCAATGAGTGTGAAGGAAAAACTCACAATTGCAGTTCTAATGCGGTTTGTCACAACATCAACGGATCCTACAACTGCACATGTAAACCTGGATACATGGGAGACGGATGGAACTGTACAGGTGATGAATACACAAATACATACGGGACGTTATGGTTAATGGGGGAAGTATCTTGGCAAATTCGAGTTTTATTCGTGAAAGCCGTTAAAGCAAATTTGGAAATAATGACCTACCTTGGAAATGACGCAATACGGTCTTAACGTTATACTAACAATTATTGGTAATAACTGACAAAAGAATTAAATTCGGGTCACGATTATGGTATCTTGGGAGACAAATTCATACGCTCAGTGAATAAAATGGAGGGTTAGTCCAATAATCGATTGCGGGTCTATAACAAACAAATAAGACGACGCAGGGACAATAAAAGGGTCTTAATTGCCTTTGCTTTTGCAAGAAAGAATATTTTACCTCCAGAATAAGTAGATTTTAATTTTTCATCGATTGAGCACTCTCAGTTATTTACATGTAATTTAAAACTTATTTCAGATATCGATGAGTGTCTAGTAGATACACACCACAATTGCAGTTCTGATGCATTTTGTAATAACACCCACGGATCCTACAACTGCACATGTAAACCAGGATATGAAGGGGACGGAAATAATTGCACAGGTGATATTTTTCGTAATTTAGTCATTTTGCGTGCCATCGAAAGCATTGCTGTTTTTATTTTTCCATAATAAGATGCTCTTTATCAATTTTTGCTAGACAGTAGACCATATTACCTCAGTTCAAATCGTAAGCGGAAAGTTTATGACGCTTTGTACCTTGTATTTTAAATGTTTTGTCTCCTAACATGGCCAGCAGCAGAAACTTTGCTTTTTTGTTTTTTCAAATGCATTTCTTTTACAACTTTCTTCTCAGTGCTGGCCTCACTTTTTAGAAATCTGAGAGGAATTCACTCTGCAAACTAAGCTTATCTCCATTGTTCAATATGATTTCAGACATCAATGAGTGTGAAGGAAAAACTCGGAATTGCAGTTCTAATGCGGTTTGTAATAACACCAAAGGTTCCTACAACTGCACATGTAAGCCAGGATATGAAGGAGACGGAGATAATTGCACAGGTAATTTCTTTCATAACTAAGTCATTTTGCATACCATCGAAAGCATTGCTGTTTTTATTTTTCCATGATAAGAGGCTCTTTATAGCAATTCTTTGCTAGGTAGTAGACCATATTGCTTCAAAATTTGTTAGTGCAAACTAAGCCAATCTCTATTGTTCTATATGATTTCAGACATCAATGAGTGTGAAGGAAAAACTCACAATTGCAGTTCTAATGCGGTTTGTCACAACATCAACGGATCCTACAACTGCACATGTAAACCTGGATACATGGGAGACGGATGGAACTGTACAGGTGATGAATACACAAATACATACGGAACGTTATGGTTAATGGGGGAAGTATCTTGACAAATTCGAGTTTTGTTCATAAAAGCTTAAAGTATATTTGGAAGTAATGACCTACCTTGGAAATGACGCAATACGATCTTGACGTTATACTAACAATTATTGGTGATAAGTAAAAAAAAGAATGAAATTTCAGGTCACGATTATGGTATCTTGGGAGACAAATTCATACGCTTAGTGAATAAAATGGAGGGTTATCCAAAAATCGGTTGCGGGTGTATAACAAACAAATAAGACGATGGAGGGACAATAAAAGAGTCTTACCTTTGCTTTTGCAAGAAAGAGTATTTTACCTCCAGAATAAGTAGATTTTAATTTTTCAGCGATTGAGCATTCAGTTATTTACATGTGATTGAAAACTTATTTCAGATATCAATGATTGTGTGGCAGATACACACAATTGCAGTTCTGATGCATTTTGTAATAACACCCACGGATCCTTCAATTGCACATGTAAACCTGGATTTACAGGAGATGGAGAAAACTGTGCAGGTAATATTTTCAGTGGTACGTCTCTCTGTTCTCTTATGACAGCAGAAACTTCATCATATTTCTTCCATTCTCTGTTACAAACTTGCTTGCTTGCTATAAGAATGCAACGACAGAGGTGGATCTAGGGGAGGTGGATTGAAAGGTTAGCCATCCCCCCTCTTTTTTAGCCGACTTACTTGTGTTTGTTGTCTCTTGTTATGCGTGTTATCGTGTACAGCAGAGAGAGAACATGTTTTTAAGGTTGTAATGTTATCATTTCTCTATTTTGTGGCGTTGTAAGAATTTGCGGTGTTACAGGTTCCTATATTCATCCTTCCTCAACTGCAACGTTTTGGGGACGCCATTGGACAAGTTACCGGTATCACCCACTCCCTCCTAGCTCATAAAATCTTGGATCCGCCCAACTGAACGAAAGCCGAGTGACGGGTGGGAGGAATCACATTGCGTACTAAGCAAACTATTTGTGGTGTTCAATAATTTATTATTTCAGACATCGACGAGTGTGAAGCAGACATTCACGGTTGCGGTTCTGATGCCATTTGTAACAACACCCACGGATCCTTCAATTGCACATGTAAACCTGGATATAAAAGAGATGGAAAAAACTGCACAGGTAATTTTCTTTTTAGTGTCTGGTCTGCTCGCATGGCATCAAAAGCTTTGTGTTTGTTTCCTTGTTTGCTTTATTTTCTTTTATTTCCTCAACAACTTTCTTCCTCTGTATCTAAACAAAAAAGGGAAGTACATTAGTACCGTTGTCTAGACAGCTGATAGGAATCCACCGTGCCAACCTAGTTTATTGTCATTGATGTTCAACATGATTTCAGACATCAATGAGTGTGAAGAAGGAACGTACAATTGCAGTTCTAATGCGGTTTGTAATAACACCAAAGGATATAATTAGTATAATTACATTGATGATTATTCAAGAAAAAAATAATAAAAATAGGCAAATTTTTGAAAGATTTTGGGGCTTTAAGATGTCGGTCGAGGGCGGCTCTGATCGACAACAAGCTGGTTTTCTTATAATAGCTGCTGTTTTCTATTTCAGGTGTGAACTCTCGCCGCTGTTGAAGCCATTCTGTGGAAAAAAATATTTCGCAAAAGTTACTAAAAGTTGCCGACACTTTGAAGCAAAAAAAATGTCAATAAACATACCAGTTTTCAATAAATTGTGTTACTTGCAAAAGAGAAATTTTATCAACTTACCTCGAATAGTTTGACTCCAAATTTTGTTGCATCAATATAATTATTCTAAAGACAGTTAGACCTAATTTGATAGGTGTTTAGCGACAATATTCCGGGCCTGAATTCTTTACACAGTTTCTTATACAGTGTCATGCTTGCAATACAGTATATAAAACGCACATATTATTGTTGACTTTATAAGTGGTAAAGTAGCCATATCCTGCCAATGAAATGTCCAATTAACACGCAGTGCTTAAATGTCATGTCTTCCAGCTTATAAGAACTGCGCTGAACTGTACAAAGCTGGAAAACGAACAAGTGGAGTTTACAAGATCGACCCAGACGGTGCTGGTGCCTTTGGCGTGTACTGTGACCAAACAACGGCTGGTGGGGGGTGGACAGTGTTCCAGAAGAGACTGAATGGCTCGGTTAATTTCCACCGCTGCTGGAACGATTACAAAAGAGGGTTCGGAAATCTGAATGGCGAGTTTTGGCTCGGACTGGACAAAATTCACCGCCTGACAAAAACTAAAAGCAAACTTCGAGTGGATCTCGAGGTCTTCCAAAAAAACACGGTTTATGCCGAGTACAGCCACTTTGCTATAACAGACGAGAGCAGCAAATACAATCTGAGCCTTGGAACTTACTACGGTAATTATATTGATTAAAAATGGAGTTCGGGGAAAAGTCTTATAAAGGCCCAAGTTAATGCTAATGATTTTGACGTTAAAGAAATAAATACCCAGCACATAGATACAACTAGCCCCACATACAGTGAAATATGTAATAATCACACCGCTATCCTAAAATAAGAGTAAAACAAATTCACTTAATATAATATAATATGGAGCGTTAGAGTGATTTTACTTCGACCATGAAAACGGATTCAATGCTTCCCGCTGTTTTTAGATCTTAACCGTCGTATTAAAAATCACAGTTATGTGGAGATAAATTTAAGGAAAGGTCGTTTCTTCCAATTTCATTTTCCAGGGAATGCTGGCGACTCGCTAAGTTATCACAGAGACTCTCCTTTCTCCACAAAAGATCGAGACAATGACGGATGGTCTGGCAGTAACTGTGCTACAACTTACAAGGGGGGTTGGTGGTATTGGAAATGTCTTCATTCCAACCTGAACGGCCTCTATCATCGCGGGAGACACTCTTCATTTGGTGATGGTGTGAGATGGTTTTACTGGAAGGGATTTTACCTCGTATACTCCGCAAAACGAGCTGAAATGAAACTCAAACCAGTCAACTTCTAAACCAACAAACAGCAGTTGTCAGTGCTTATATCTGCTTGATTTGCAATGGTCGTTTAAATAACTTAGCTGTAACACATTTTGTTAGACTGCTGCTGAAATGATAAATGAAGCATAACAAACTATTGTCACAGATTTGATGAAAAAAAAAAAAAGAAGAAGAAAAAACCTGTAAAATAAAAGATGTTACAGTTGGCTTTCACAATTTACGATATTGTTACTTATTTATACTAACTGCCACTGAACTTTATGGTTTATTTTTTGATACTTGCTATATAAGTATATGCTTTATGGCTCAGTCAATTCCAATGCGGGACATTTGTCAGTTCTTCTAGAGACAGTTATCATTCTTCCTTTGTCAATATTTCACTTTAAAGTATGCCTTTTTTGATAGTTACTGATATTTTCATAAAGAATATTTTTACATGTAACACATATGCTTTGAAAAGATGCGTGTAGTTTTTGTTTCATTACCATCATATGTTCATACAGTATTTTTTGCATCCGGAGTCTAAGGAACTGCTTCCCGCGATCTAGCCAACGTGATCAGTTCGCACATGGAGGAAAAACAATCAATTCATTGTTTAAAGGAAAAGGCACTTTCTTTGTGAGCGAATGGTAGAGGTAGAGAGGCCTAGAAAAACTATGGGAGATATTTGAAAGCTAATATAAACTTCGTGTTTGAATGATTAATGCGACGACGTTGACGGGACGGGTCCTTCGTGATGACAAAATAATCTTGTTTAAATAAGAAAGGTGTTATTAAAGTTGTAGTTTATAGTTTTGTCATTGATGTGAATGGGAGAGGATAAGTCTTTTTTTGCAATAATTATAACTGGCGGCTAGGAACGATTTCCGTGGGTGTTTCACGCGTTTTGATCAGATTATTACAGATGTCCATTAAACTTATTAAATAAGGCATTTGCAGCTTATTTAATGGAAAATACAATTTTAGTGCTGCCCCTGGGTGGGGCATTTGCCCACTTTTTTATGCTCCACCGTGGGGTTTTTGGATGAACCGCCCGGCCCCACCGTTGGGCATTTGCAGCTTTTCCAAAAGAAAAAATAAGAATAATAAAAAAAATAATAACAAATACCCGGAGGATGGGGGGTATGGGCACGCTTGGAATTGCCTGAACCATTATTGACCAAACAGAAGGTCAAGATGGCTGAATATTGGCCGAGTTCCCCTTTCCGTCTTTATTGACCGAGACGAGGCCAATATACAGCCATGATTTGATCGAACAAGCTCGGCTTGATCAAAAAAGGTTTTATTATTTGGCCAAAAAGACAGCATTTTCTTGGGGACCGACGGGAAAAATCCCGAGCCCGCTTAGTTAGCTAATAAGAACGCAGGATTCGTTTCATCTTGCCCACTGACGGATTCAGCCATATAGTAATTGAACACTAAGTTCACGAGTAAATTACAGCCTAGAGTTCTTTTGTTTATCTTGCGCTCTCATATGCGATAGAGGTGTAGAAACTTTTAGGAAGCGCATTACGATCAACAAAAATAAAGCTTTCAAGGGATTTTTCACTTTACCAAAAAAAGGTAACTGATACAAGTACGTGCATTGCAGATCAACTACTCATTAAAGAGATTAAGAGTCACGTTTAATTTAATTTTTTAATTTAATTCAATATTTATCCAGGGGCATCCAATATAGCAGAGCTAGTTTAAATGATGCCCTGACAAAACACAAAAACAAAGACATTAAAACATTAAAATTAGACAATTAATTAAGTTAAGACAACATGCAACGCAGGTGTTACTGTTTAAAGTGGCGCTTTAGCTTTATTTTTAATTCACTGAGGGTATCTACTTGTCTAATGATTCTCGGTAGGGTTTTGTAGGTACAAGCACCGTTTATTCTGAATCTACCTTGGTATTTGGTAGTTTTTGCGAAGGGAGGGCGCAGCAAATCACGACTTCTGGTGTTATAGCCATGAAAAAGGTGCGCGTGTCTAAACTCTGAAAGTAAGTACGAAGGCGCTATTCCGTGAAGACACTTATGGACTAGGACGCATTTGAGATAATTTCTGCGTGCTTGTAGGCTAAGCCAGCCAAGTGTTGATTTTAACTCCTCAGCCCCGAAAGATCGACCTTCAATAATACATGCGGCGCGTCTATTTAGCTTATCTAGATAGGCTTTGCTCCCAACCCAACAACTGCCCCAGACAGGCGAACAGTAATGGAACAATGGCAGGACTAAAGTATTGTAGAGCATTTGACAAGTTGGTTTTGGAAGAACCTTACGCGCTCGACGCAGAATACCTAATCTAAACGAGATCTTGTTATCGATATATTCTACGTGGTCCTTCCAAGATAGGGTGTTGTCTAGGAGGACCCCAAGATATTTAAACTTGTTAACTCTCTGTAAACGCGTGTTACTGATTTGCCAAACGGCAGACGTCAGATTCAAGTTGAGAATTTATCAGAATAGAAAATAAGCAGATAAAAACTGTCCAGAGCAATTCTTTATGTATAAAACTGGCGTGACACTACTTATTTTTTAAGTTGAAGTAATAAACAGTTAACGACAATTATGGGAAAAACTTGGTCACGTGGTACAAATTCACGTTTGCCGTTTGGCGTAAACGTGAATCTTAATCTCTGTATTGCGCATAGTCCCACTGAATTAAGACCTGAAGATCGAACAAGGATTTGTTTCGTCGTCACAGTAAACTGCTGTCTATAAATAAAAGGTTTATTTAAGTTTATTATGTCGACATTTCTTTGCCATTTCACCCACTGAAGGTATCTTTTCAGCGTTTTGGTATTGTCACGTGAACTATTTCAAGAAATAACTTGTAACTTCTGTTTCCCTTTCACTCGGAAAAGATACCTGATGAAAGAACAACAAAAACACAAAGATCAAGATCAAGATCAACAGAAATTGAAAGTTTGTCTAAAGAATGGGAATATTTATCAGCAGGGTATCAAATAACGGCTAAATAAAGAGACGATTATTTAATATGTTGCTGGTTTTCAGTGTCACGCCATTAAAAATAGATCAAAATAAAAATCAAAACCGTTCAATAGATAAAGTTCAGAATCTGGGAAATGAAAGGAGGTACATAGACCCTCGCCAAGATTCAGGTTAGAGGAATATTTCGTATACGAGATATCCGAAGAAATGTTTTACCCAAACTTATAGAGATTTGTATGGAGACGCCATGCTGGTGCTCACCTGGATGAGCTCCAACATGGCGGACGGAACCCAACAGAAACATCTGCGATCTTTCACCCTTTTTTTGCTACAAAAGCGTGAATTTATTCTTCGAGAAACTCATAAGCATTATGGTAATTCTTGTTCTAATACACGAACTGTTTAGATTGCAAAATTTCTTGAAATACGTCATTTTTTTAACCTACATGACAGCTCTCTTGGCCGTCATGTAAATGCCGCGTCACGCAAAAGCTTAGAAATTCAAGCGTACTCTATCACAAACCCGAGAACCCTTTTGAAGCGGAAATTTGTGTGAAAATTAATTTTCAGCTGCTCTAATACATCGTGAAAGTAAAATCTCGGTAGGATCGATAGTTTCTAAGTTTGAATTTTAGTGAGGTCATGTGAAAACCAACAATACTTTCTCCTCGATGTTATTGAAATTTCCGCCTATGATAAATACTATAATAGTTCTATTTTTGGAAAAGCTCTGAAACGTATTAGCTCACGTCCCTATGTCAGAGAGGGAGAGTGTTAAATGAAGAAGTCGAGAGGTAATTAACCAGCGAGCCAGCTCTCTACATTCAAGGAAGGGGGGAGTGGGTTAGGTTTAGGAGGCGCGAGCGGGAGAAAAAAAAAAGAAAAGGATGATTACGTGCGGTTACACATACCATGGTAAAAGGTCTTTCCTGTCGTAAAATTGCCCGGTAAATATTTACTCTGGTAAACTTTACCAAGGTGACTTACGGTTACACGTAAAAATATTTTCACGCAATTACTTTCCCGGGAAATACTTGAAGGACTTTCAGTGCGAGCAGGATTTTGGATTTCAAAAAACTGTTGATACCCAGGATAAAAGACATAATACAAATGATCCAGGCTGAATTTCTGAAATTTCAGAATCAAGTGAAGGCAAGTGACTGAATCCAAATTCGAATTTGTCCTACCAAAAAAAAAAAAAAAGACATACGTTTGCTCAAATTATCTGGTATGTAAGCAAACGATTTCAAATGTTTCTCTGAAGACAATTTTGAAATAGGGGGGCTCTGGCGGCGAGGCGAGAAAAGGAAGGAGAGCTTGCAAATACGTCTCTGGAAGTTGAATTTCTGTATTGAAAAAGTCGAGTGAAATGGTGATTGGCGGAGATGACATTAAAAATGAGCCTTGCAATTGGCGCGTACTTTCACGTATTTTTCAATGTTTGTTTACATTCCAGCTCGTTTTCTCTTTGCGCTGATTGGCGGAAATCTTCGAGCTCAGTCGACGGGATGCCACAGTGAGGTGGAATTAAAATTTCAGAGACGCAGTTACATTAGCTCTCCCTCCTTTTTCCCCCCTGCCGCCAGAGCGCCCCGGAGAGCTTGCTCGCAGGCTATTAATGAGTCTAAATCCACTCTCTTTATTTCCGTCATTGATTTACCGTCATTATAACAAATTTCATGTGAAGGAGTTAAATTTTAGGACTTAATGTCTGTCATTAAACTTCCTGTTATTTACTAACTAGACTGAAAATACTTAATGGGGAAAACCAGGGAAATGAGAGGAAAAAGTATTTTAGGCTTTTTATAGAAAAGACATTTTTCTAATTACTACGTAACAAGTTTTTTTCTATATCATCAAAACAAAAATAATAGTTTCCAATACGTTTGGCTCTTGGAATGTGCGAGCAAAGCGAGCGCCTATTTCTTCATGATATCGAATCCAATCACAAAAATTTCTCAATTTTCACCAAAACCGGCTTGATCTCTGTGATTTTAGGCCCTCGTCATTGATAACTTCACGAAGTTTACGCATTTTGATGATTTACAGTATCGTATCCAGGCTAATCGAGGCGGGCGGGCAGAGGAAAACATAAAGTACACATTCACTTGGAAGAAAAGAGAAGTAAAAATAAGGGCAAAAATGAGCGCCGAGGGTCTCTTTCGAAAAAACACAATACCCTATTGCATTTAATCGAATGAGCGCCACCCTGAATAACGTTGCCTTCTTTAAATCCAAAAGCAATAGCGCCGCGGCGCTCTTTCAAAAATACAATGTTTTACTGCATTTAATCGAAAAGGCACCGACCTCAAACAAGAGTCGCGTATTTTATAAATAAAAACCTTGGCACTGTTTCGAATAAACATATTTCTCTCCGGCATTCAACCCATTCAAGCGAGAGTGCCGCATTTCCCAGCAATACAGCAGCGCTTATTAATTTTTGTTTATCGAACCTTTTAATATGTTGATTATCATTGCTGATGTAAGCTTGAAGCATACTGATGTAAATATAAACCTTGTTTTGTTTTGGACTTCCATTTCTTATAAAGAGTATAGTATTTAAATAATGATGAAAATAAATAAGTATATATTCCCAGAAACAACTTCAAATTTTGTTTATCGTACGTGATACAACCAATTAATGATCAAAATCTATTATCTAAGTCGAATTACAAGGTCTGCAAGGGTGCTTTAATATTAAACTTCAGTGAATGAAAATTTGCGCACACTAAATTGTAAAAAAATCGGAAATAGCGAAAAAAGACGTTAGTGAGCGCCCGCTTATCAGACAAGAAAAATTTGTAGAATATTGTATTTTTCGAAGCGCTTATTGATTTTCGTACTTAAATTTGAGGACGGCGCTCTTTCGATTAAATGCAATAGAATATTGTGCTTTTGATTTTCGAAGGAGCGCCGTGGAGCTTAAATTGAGGGCGGAGCTCCTTCGAGTTTGGATAGTATTTGACGTTTTTATTACATTTGAGGGCTTTATTACATTTGTAGTCAGTTATTACATTTGTGCAAGAGAGATAAAGGGGACAGAGAAGGCATCCCCCATACACACCCTATTCCATAGGTAATTCGTCTCGAGTTATTTTTAAGAGACACAGATCCAAAGGGGTATTAGACAACAGCCAATCACATAGCGTGAATGTGTTCCGCGTGGATGACCCACACTCAGAGCCACGCGTCCTTTCCGAAGTGAAGCAGAAAAAAATGGCGGAAGACTCGAAGAGAAATGGAAATTAAAAAATAATCGCCCTTCCTCTCTCGTATAGAGCTAACAGTGCAGCAGGGAAACCCTTAACACACTGAATATTCTCTCAGGATCATTTATAATTTACACTTTGGAGAGAGCAATTTCTGGTTTGATATTTATTCTTCTATTAGTCTTTTATTATTCAACAAAAATAACACTTGGCGTCCTACTTGCTTTATTGTACAAACGACCGGTTTCAATAGACCGGCGAAATTTCTCATTTTATTAAAGCACTGAGGTTGCGACAACTTCGAGTTAAACTGATTTCATGGGTTGTCAAAGAGTCCAGCGATTCCCTTTTCCCAGGTGAGTGCTGACTCATTTCGCCTCAATATTCAGAAATGCTTTCGATGTCTTTCTCTTCTATAGAGCTAACAGTACAGCAGGGAAATCCTTAACACACTGAATATTCTCTCAGGATCATTTATAATTTACAGTTTGGAGAGAGCAATGCTTTCGATGTCTTTACAATTTCATTGCCTTTCGCCCGACATGTTTTGCACGGCGTTTAGTCATGTGAATCCTCCACGAAACATCCACTTGGCGCGCGAGGTAACTTTATCCCGATTCTAAAAATAACTCGAGACGAATTACCTATGGAATAAGGTGTGTATGGGGGATGCCTTCTCTGTCCCCTTTATCCTCTCTTGATTTGTGGCTTCAACATATGTTTACCTACTTCCTTAGCGAGAGGCCGTCACATGTAACGCATTTATTTCGTGACGTGAGGTAAAGTGTTTTGCGTAACGCATCTTTTCAGGGCACTTGATTTTCCAACTTATCCGTACAGTTTACGCTTGTCAGTTAGGCCATCCTTCCCGAACATTCTGAAAAAACAACTTTCAAAGTGTCATATTTCGTCCAGGTGCTGGTCTGAGGCTGGTAAATGTTACCATGACGGCGTTAACAAAGAAATCTGATTCAGTTTTTAGTTCTCTCAGACTCTCTTTCTCGGGAGACTTCCCAGGGCCTCGGGAGAGCGCATCTGCAGTGTAGCGTATTTTCCCTGGAACATTGTAATGTTAAACTGCATCACCGGTAAGCGGAACCTTTAGATCCTTAGTAGGAGCTCGTCAATTATAATATATCGATAGGAAGTGACGTTGACTTTTTGAATGTAATTCAGAAACTAGTCTGTCTCTTAGGGCTTGAGATAGAAATTCACCGAAGCTGCAGCTCGAAGCCAATTTCTTCAGTCTAACGACGAATTCTGATACACTCTCGCTCCTTGTGACGCAGTCCAGAACTTGTGTCTTTCAGCAATAACAATGGGAGCAGGTTCGTAGTGTCTCTGCAAAAGCTGCGTCAACCGTGTAAACGTCTTTGTATTCGGATTTTCTGGACCGCACAAATTCTTCAATAACTTGTAAGCGTCTGGACCAATAACAGCCAGAAAAACATTCACTTTTTTTGTCATCGTCGATGTCATTCGCCGCAACATATTCTCAAATCGATCGGCATAATCACTAAATTTCTCGGACCTCTCGTCAAAAGGACCCAAATTTTACCAATGATTACAGCCATGTGTACACTCTGTTTACATTGAGGATCCCATCCTCGTCGCCAGTTCTGTATTCTGAAGGATTTTAGAAGCGAACAATTAGGAACAAATAGACACACGTGCGTATACCAAGAACATATTTGGCAACTGTTTATGTCACCCTCTTACATCACGTGACCAATACTACCCAAAATACCACAAACGCGAGGGCAGTAAAGCCACTTTCATGGTTCAAGTCTGCAGTGTTGTACTTCCGGTCCGTACCAAGATAATGCTGCAACTCTAAAGTGGTGTAAGGCCTTTTCCAAAGCCACTGCCTGATTTCCACTGCGTTTACATCATCTGAAGGTGGCTTCTCGTCTGTACAGGCTAAGAAGTATAGGTTGAACATGTTTGGAATGCTCTGTATTGACAGTAACTTCATACCTAGTGTAGACTGGTAAAATTGAAGCCTTCGATTGATATCAGAAACACGAAGAGTGATTTGCCCGATGTGCGCTTGCTGCCCAAGCGCCAGGTTCGGTTCAAGAGAAGCTTGTACGCGCTCAGAACTAAAATTAGACTGGAAATCATGTTGCAGCAGCTCTAGTGAAAATCCAAACGGGTCCCTAAAGTGGCACATGTATCCGATATCCCGGAACTGTCTTGGAGAAGTGACCTCCACGTCCTGACGTAAAAGCTTTGAACGAGCTGTGTCTACATCTGCAAGTGATAATCCTATTTTTAGTAAATATCAGACGATGGTTGCGAATTGTAGTACTTTGGTGGTGTAGATTGCTTGAGAGACGAGCGAAATTCTACAACCGCTGATTGCGGCGCGTTCTGATAACCAACCCAGTGTATCAGCTCCTTTTCACTCTTTATTTTTTTAATGACACTCATTCCCAGTCGATTGCAATACCACTCAATAAGTCCGGCAACAGCCGATGCATCCACATGTAGTCGAGGAAATGCCAACTTCATTACGATTTTGGAGGTAAAAGAAGTTTTTAAATGGACGCTTCCTTGTTGCACCTCTGCTGACCGCTGAGGGACTGGGACCAACCCTACCAGGCCACAGACTAACCAAACTCTATGCGCTCGCGTTCTAATTTTGGACGGACCAACGGACTGGCCTCATAAAAGCTCTACGTGAACACTGTACGTTTTTCAGGGTCCTGTGGCTAAACATTCGAGTCCCGCTTTGCTGACATTTGATCCGCTTAATACGACTGCTTGGTTTTTACGGGACAGCTTTCTTTGTCCCTGGACAAAGACGTTCCATTTTAGCCCCCATTATACGGACACCTGTTAATTACTTTTTTCTACTCCAACAGCCATAGGTTCCCGACTCCGATCAATAGATTCACAGACCGGAGGAAGTTAACCTCGATAATATGACACAACCAGCTGTGTTCTGTATTAATTCTTGCCTCTGACGAAGTTATCCTCGTATATCAGCATTTCGATGTTTACAGTGCTACGGTAGACGGGATAAGATGAAGTGGAGACGTCAATTTCTGAATTTTTAAAGTAATAAATGAGTTTAATACACAGAGAACTGTTTTTGATTAAGTAATGGGTGCAAACCAAAGGACGTAATCTGCGTTGAAACTAGTAATAGCGATTGTAGTGTACGTCCGGAACTTAACCTCCCTAGCGCGGGAAGTCTGGAGTCATGTGACTTGACGGAGCCAGTGTGTTTTGTAGTGTAGCGGTGATGAGCTAAGTAGTGCTCGTGTTTACTAGACTATAATTATGGCCTCGGTGGCCCGTTAGAAATACTACAGCAATGTTTTTTTTTTAATATTTCTTTAGTATTTCAGTTGTTCACCAAAAGGAGTTTGCTTGTTTACTTCAATAACATGACCCGTTAAAAATTTTTTATAAAGACACTTTCTATACCCCCACCACCCTCCCGCCCCCCAACGTCCGTAGTAATAGGGTTCGACTGTATCTACTTTATATTTGGCTTTGAAAAAGAGTCCCGTAAATACAGCTATTGTGGGTGTTTCTCTTAAAGTAACTCTCAAGGATCCAATAAATGTGTTTAAAGTTATATCCACTGTTCCCATTTTCTAGAAGCAAAAGATTGTCGGATATCACGCTTGGATCTAGTACAGTTATGAGAATTGACGCATATTTAATCGAACAGTGACGCGAGTGCATAAAAATGGTTATAAACCGACGCAAGCAACTAAGCCCGATGTAAAGACTTCCAGCTGAGTCTTCAGTAAAAAGCGTCACTTTCAGTAGCGCGGGGATGATTTAGAAGGTCGCGCAGCATTACTGTGTAGAACTGGTAGCTTAGGAATAAGTTGTCTCATAACGCCATGTACCCGAAAAAGGAACGAATACTTGAAAAATGAAATAGTAGTAGAGTCATTTCTATTAAGCCTCGCTTTACTGCCTGCTGCGAATTCTTCATTTTAACACAACTTGCCAGGTCTGAGTTCAAATCTTATCATATTCAGTTTTTGAAACATTATATGTGTCAAGGGGATATATCAATATAAAACAGAGTCATCAGCATACAAGTAACTATAAAGCAAACTCCAGGACATTTGCAAATCATTCACATAGAATATAAACAATAGCAGGTTGTACCATGGGCAACTCCTACAGATACTGTAGCTTGGTTAGGCTGGGTATTGCCATTCATGTTTGCAACTGAACCGTTTTAGTGTTTTCTCGTTCTTTCCATAGATTTGGGTGTTGAAAGCCCTTTCTATGATGTTGCAAAAAGTAGGCAAAATGGAAACTGACCCAGGATTTCTGTTTATTACCTTTCTTATGTAAGGGTACAACTTAGAATGAAGGGTACAACTATCAAATTTTTCTAAGTAGAGGGAAAAGGTCCCTTTTATGGCGATATATAGGTGGTAGCGACGGCGTGCATGGACAGAGTCCTTGAGCAGGTGTGCACTATTTTTATACAGTCCAGTGGCTTTATTAAGTTTAACCGCTTGATAGCATCAGGTCTTCACCACAGACGAACCGAGGTTACGCAGGATATCACTAATTACGTATACATAGAATGAAAACTCCGGAGTCCTGTGCCAAGATTTTCATACTGACGCTTACAAAAAAGGATTTAAGTGTCCTTATCAAGCGGGTTAAAATGTAAAGAACAAAGAAACAAAGAAAGCTGTCCGTAATAACGAAGCGTTTGTGTTAAGCTGATGTCCGCAAAGCGGGACTCGAATGTATAGCCACAGGACCATGTAAAACGCACCGAGCTAAAAGCTTGGTATGCCTGTGGCCATACATGGTTGGTGCCATTGAGTAGACAACCACGGAGCTAATCATGTTCTAGTGCATTAGAATAGAGTGTGGAATCGTCCAGTCAACACCTGCTTATCTTTTCATTATTTATTAAAGCATTGTCTATAGCAATGTTTTGTTTTCCTCCTCAATTTAAGATTTAATTGCGGTTTACTAAGTTCAGTTGTGAAAGGGTTAACTACTCTGTTCTAAAAACATTTGCATAGAAAAAAATAATTAAAATTTGCTAACTTATCTTTGAATAATAGATGCTATTTTTTTTCAATTTACCCAATTTTTCATATCAAGAAGTTTCATAGCGAGTCTGAGCTAGCCCGACGACAATGGCCCATCAGGCTAGGCCCTAATATTTTGAAACAGAGTTATTAAAGATCATTAAAATCTTTCAACTTTAATTTATGCCAAATTTTGTTTACAAAAAACGTTGTAGGAATCTAAAGACGGTATTAACGAGAGCACAGTTAACGCTAGAAAAGCTACATCTTCAAGTCTGGAATTGTCTCCGTCTGTGCATATGTATGTGTTAACCGTGAAATATCATTAAAATGTTTCCAACGATTGTTAAACTGTGTCATCAACAAAAAGAATAATTTAAGTTTTGACGTTAATGTTAAAATGCGACAGGTGGTATGGAACTGTTAACATGTATAGTATAAGTTACATCCCCGTTGTGGCTTAACCGCACTTAATGCACTCGACTTTTCAGGAGAGTTGCGTTCCGCGAACACGGCAGCGATCATGGGTGTTCTTCACTACAGTATTTTCTTTATGCTGTACATGCATTCTTTCAGAATTTGCTTCGGCTGTTTGGGTGGTAAGTTCTTCTCTTTCCGCCTTGTTGTTTCAATCATATTTGGCTCGCTATTTTCAAAAATTGAGCGTCAAAATAGTGACAAACACATTTATCTCTTGAAAGAAGATAAAAAAATTATTATAGTTAGCTAGACTGACTTTAAACAAGAGTAGCTGCAAAATTTTCTGCTCTTGTATACTGCCCATAAATGTGACTTTTAGTACAGCTTACGGTTAATTTCTCTTCTTTTCTAACAGAAACATGCAAAAAAAATCCCTTCACCTGCAAAAAGTTCCGCAAAATTATTTTTCGTGGTTGCAAAATTGCTTAAGGCTCATAGGACTCCAAGGACCTTCCCTTTCCCGAACATAAAGAACCATGTCTGTTAGCAACAAGGGGAGAACACGCAAAAAGTTCTAAACAAGCGTTTTCGAAACTCTCTAAATAACAAATTTTGGTTAGGGACCGGCTTAATGTTTACACTGTTAACCTTTTTACAACTACTAGCGATTAACCCCATCTTTGTAGGCTTTCTTTGTTTATTTAGCCTGTCTGCTCGCCGCAAAATGATTGCTCTACAAGAATCTAGTTACAGAAAAGAAAACAGTCTGTGGCTATTATTAGCGAGAAAAAAGAATAAATAAAAAAAGGCTGCTAACAATGTCAGTATGCGAGGAGCTTTTCTAGTCCCTTTTTATTTCTTTTCGTTTCTTATCACTTCCCTTCGGAAGCCCAAGATTCCTTAGTATCTGTTCTTAATTATCTTTATTTTTACTTTGGACCCATACCATATTTTAAAACACTCTACGTTAATACGACCCTGTACCCCTCTTTTACGTTGACGAATATTTTTCTGACTCGAAAATGTCTTGTATTCGAAAACCTCGTTGAATATGACCACCTTTAAGGATCCCCAGACGTTACCTTCTTTACAATTTTAACTCGTTTATACGAACAACAGCATAAAACAATAATCTCGGCCGGATGGCAATTGAGGGAAGCCAGACGCAATCAATTTGAAAATCTACATCAATTTTATCTTACTGAACGTTGTTACAAGAACATAATTGAGCGTCCCAGTTATGTGTAAAATCCGGCAGATTGATAGATTGGTGAAATTATCCTTTGTAACATTTATTTTAGAAAGGCTTAGTGTAATATGGGTTGTACCACGTTGATGGGTTTTTAAAGCCCAACGGTCATCGCAATAATGGGAATTTTATTCCACTCAACTGTCCTTGTTTCCTTTTTGGTCAATTTAATACGTTTAAGACGTTCACTGAATGCCTTTTTTCAGAATAAATATAAACGTTTTCATGGACGAAAAACAAGCGAAATACCAAGCTAAAGGTTATTTAGTTTTGTCCTCCTTGGGCGTGAGTCAGTGTTAATTACCATTCTAGACATTGCCTTTTGAATTCAGAAATTCTTTCGATATCATGCCATCTATTTTATGTTTTACTCTATTTAATATAAGAATTTGTTTATTCATTCATTACAATCAATCCATGAAGCTGCTAACAGACTGACTGAATAACATGGCAACTTAATAAATACTGAATAAGAGGAAATAAGGGTAAACACATCCTGCTGCACATAATTAACAAAGAGAAAATTGCTAAGAAACCCGAATTGTTGGCAACAATTCTGTTTGGTTGTTAACGGGAAAACATTTCCTCAGCAAACACCACGCGATCATAATGTTGGCTTTTTTAATAAAAACTACAGAAACTTCCCATGGATTTGTTATTGTCGTTAAGGCAGAGAAGACCGTGAGAAGGTTTTCCCAATTTTATGCGATTTATTGTAGCTGTGTCGTCTATCCAGTGCCTGAGTTTTGCTATTTTGTTCAATTATAAAGTTTACAGCGGACTCAATAACAACATGGAAATCTATTTAAAAGTTAAATAACAGGAGATAATTGGAAGAAATTTTTTAAGAAATATAAAATTGAGTTTCGATATTGTCACCACAGTTTAATACTTGGATTATAGACTTGTCAACAAAAAGGAAGTTGCTGGGAAACAAAGAATTCTGTTATTTGCGTCATACGAGGAAAATATTTTCGCAGTAAACACGACAGTTTACCACTTTTCAAGACAGGTGGGAATACCATCTACCTGTTTTTCTTTTTTCAGCATTTTAATTGGCTTTTACTAAAAATGAATTATCGTATATATTCCTACAAAAGGAGGTTTTCTTTATAGAGCTCGACCAATTGACAGAAAATTGAAATTGGCCTAGAGAACTAAGTTAATTCCATCTCTTTTTGTCATTATTTGATGTACATTGCTGTTTTAAGCCAGTTTGAAGCAATTCCAAGAAAACCCCAGCAAGACAGTTTAATTAACATATATGGTAGTTTCATGATTAAATGTCAGATAAAACATAGCTTGAAGCTAAGGAGGATAACCGAAGATATATAAGTTATTAGGTTCCATGAACCTCAATCTTGTTTATAAAGGACAGTTGCTTTTAATTGAAGGTCTTTTTGCCGCCAGAAAAGGTCAGAATTGGCCACCTTATGAGCTCCTGGAATTGCTAAATGCAATTTTTTTCTTTCTTCAATTCAGGTAATTGCCGCGTACTGGCGTTTCCGAGTTATTTCCTAATTGCTGACAAATGTTTGGAGGGCCACACGTTCTTAATTGTCCAATATGTCCCGGATATGGGTCTTTGTGAACTGCTTTGTTACAACCAACCAAACTGCGTCAGTGTTAATTACGAGATACAAACACAAAGGCGATGTGAACTGAACAATTCAACACACCGGGCGCACGATGAGGACTTTAAAGAGAGGAAAGGCTGCTTATATCATGGTGCAATTGTAAGTTTTTTGTCTTTTCTTTTCTCGTCTTCTTTTTCTTTCATCATCATCATCTTCAAGGTAATCATCATCCCACTGTCGACATCTTCATCATCATCACAATGGTCACCATCTTCGACATTAGAGGGAGCTTAAGCAACGACGAAGACGACCGTGGCGAAAACGTCTCTTAAAGAGTGAATTCACGCTGTATCAAAATCTATCGTTCTTATTGCACGTCGTTCAATTGGCCACCAAATGTTGGTGAGTTTTTCTGGAGTCGCATTGTAAAGAACTGTATCTAAGTTAAAAAAATAAATAATAACAATAAAATAAAGAATCGTTGTCTTGTGTTCACGTCCCGGTAGAGAAGGTGAAACTAAGAAGTTCCACGTGGTAGTCGTGCAACGAAGGGCAGGGAAATGTACAAAAAACGTGATTTAGGTGCAAAGTTTTTTTTTTGCTAATATTAATCTATTTCACCTATTTGCGTTTTCCTTTGACGTCGTCGTTGCTTAAGCTCCCTATTAATAATTATTATCATCAGGATCATAATAATTACCATTGTCTTATCATCATCATCATCATCATCTTGTAGTTTGTAGTTGACGCTCTATCAAGACGGTTTAACGTAACTTCTTCTCTTACAATTCAAACCTGATTTTTGTTCTTTCAAAGAGTGCTTGTGATACTTCCCGTTGTCAAAACGACGGTACCTGTCAGTCTGGATTCACAGAGAAAAAATATCGGTGTTTATGTCCTTCTGGTTTCACTGGTGAACAATGTGAACATGGTAAGCTGTTCTTGAAAAGACTTTACCTTTATGCAAATAATCAAAGGTTCGTTAATCGTAATCAAGCTTGGGCTGTCCTTTGTCATTTCCTACGGCAGTGTACAAAACGTTCACGTAGCGAACATTTTAAGGTTTTGCTAGCCTCTCGTTTCAGTTGGTCTATTAACTGTCATACACTTTCAAATGCTATTTCCTTAAATTTTTGCTTTTTGTTTCCGGTAATCCTAAGTGTGTTTTTTGGTTATTTGAGTTGAGTAATTTTAGAGCTTGTTTTTGAGCAGAAACAGTTCGTAATTGAAAGCCTTTCTTCAAGAGCATTTCAACTCTAAACCAAGAAAACGTGATATGGCGTGAGCCTTGATTATACATCTAAGCTCGTTGCTAGGAAGTTCATTTGATTGAGCTCTCGAGGGAGGGGGAAAGGGGGGCGGGGTTGGAGAGTTCCATATAAACTTCTCGTCGAAAAATTGGAATGAAACCGGCCCCTAAGGGAAACTTACCCAAATACCCAAATAAGTTTTTCGAGGGAGTATAACGGGGCCCATAAGTTGACATACAAGGAACATGAATGTCAAACATCGAAACTGTGGGTCCAACCATAACAATTTAATAAGTTTATTCGTAAAAGTGAAAAAAAAAAAATGAAACAAAAACAATAAGTCAATGTCTTAACAGACAGAGAAAGATGGCTTCACCTTGGAGTCGACACCATTTTTTTCGGCTTGCTGCTAATACTGTTATCATCTTCTAGTAACCTCATCTCTTGATTTCATGCACTGTATATAAAAACGGGGAAAATTCTAAAACGCACAATGGGAACTTACTTTTTTGCAATTATTGGTCAATATTGTTTCAGACATCAATGAGTGTGAAGGAGGAACTCACAATTGCAGTTCTAATGCGGTTTGTAACAACAACAAAGGATCCTATAACTGCACATGTAAACCAGGATATGAAGGGGACGGAAATAATTGCACAGGTGATATTTTTCGTACTTTAAGTCATTTTGAATGCCATCGAAAGCATTTTTTTTCCATGATAAGATGCTCTTTATATAACTTCTTTGCTAGATAGTAGACCATATTACTTCAAAAATTGAAGGGGAAAGGTGAATGCTTAATACTGACCTTGTATTTTAAATGTTTTGTCTCCTAACATGGCCGGCATCAGAAACTTTGCCTTTTTGTTTTTTCTCATACATTTCTTTTAAAACTTTCTTCTCAGTGCTGGCCTCAATTTTTAGAAAGCTGAGAGGAATTCACTCTGCAAACTAATCCAATCTCTATTGTTCTATATGATTTCAGACATCAATGAGTGTGAAGGAAAAACTCACAATTGCAGTTCTAATGCGGTTTGTAATAACACCAAAGGATCCTACAACTGCACATGTAAACCAGGATATGAAGGGGACGGAAATCATTGCACAGGTGAAATTTTTCTTACTTTAGTCATTTTGAATGCCATCGAAAGCATTGCTGTTTTTATTTTTCTATGATAAGATGCTCTTTATAGGAATTCTTTGCTAGATAGTAGACCATATTACCTCAAAATTTAAGTGCACAGGTTAATGCTTAGTACCTTGTATTTTAAATGTTTTGTCTCCTACCATGGCCGACATCAGAAACTTTGCTTTTTTGTTTTTCCTCAAACTTTTCTTTTCCAACTTTCTGCTTAGTGCTAGCCTCACTTTTTAGAAAGCTCAGACGAATTCGCTCTGCAAACTAAGCCAATCTCTATTGTTCTATATGATTTCAGACATCAATGAGTGTGAAGGAAAAACTCACAATTGCAGTTCTAATGCTGTTTTTCACAACATCAACGGATCCTGCAACTGCACATGTAAACCTGGGTACTTGGGAGACGGATGGAACTGTACAGGTGATGAATACACAAATACGTAAGGGACGTTCTGGTTAATGGGGGAAGTATCCTGACAAATTCGAGTTTTATTCGTGAAAGCCGTTAAAGCAAATTTGGAAATAATGACCTACTTTGGAAATGACGCAATACGGTGTTAACGTTATACTAACAATTATTGATGATAAATGACAAAAGAATTAAATTCGGGTCACGATTATGGTATCTTGGGAGACAAATTCATACGCTCAGTGAATAAAATGGAGGGTTATCCAATAATCGATTGCGGGTCTATAACAAACAAATAAGACGACGCAGGGGCAATAAAAGGGTCTTAATTACCTTTGCTTTTGCAAGAAAGAATATTTTACCTACAGAATAAGTAGATTTAATTTTTCAGCGATTGAGCATTCAGTTATTTACATGTAATTTAAAACTTATTTCAGATATCGATGAGTGTCTAGTAGATACACACCACAATTGCAGTTCTGATGCATTTTGTAATAACACCCACGGATCCTACAACTGCACATGTAAACCAGGATATGAAGGGGACGGAAATAATTGCACAGGTGATATTTTTCGTAATTTAGTCATTTTGCGTGCCATCGAAAGCATTACTGTTTTTATTTTTCCATAATAAGATGCTCTTTATCAATTTTTGCTAGACAGTAGACAATATTACCTCAGTTCAAATCTTAAGCGGAAAGTTTATAACGCTTTTAAATGTACCTTGTATTTTAAATGTTTTGTCTCCTAACATGGCCGGCATCAGTAACTTTGCTTTTTTGTTTTTTCTGATGCATTTCTTTTACAACTTTCTTCTCAGTGCTGGCCTCACTTTTTAGAAAGCTGAGGGGAATTCACTCTGCAAACTAATTAAGCTTATCTCCATTGTTCAATATGATTTCAGACATCAATGAGTGTGACGGAAAAGCTCACAATTGCAGTTCTAATGCGGTTTGTAATAATACCAAAGGATCCTACAACTGCACATGTAAACCAGGATATGAAGGAGACGGAGATAATTGCACAGGTAATTTCTTTCATAACTTCGTCATTTTGCATACCATCGAAAGCATTGCTATTTTTATTTTTCAATGATAAGATGCTCTTTATAGCAATTCTTTGCTAGGTAGTAGACCAATATTGCTTCAAAATTTTAAGTGCACAGGTTAATTCTTAGTACCTTGTATTTTAAATGTTTTGTCTCCTAACATGGCCGGCATCAGAAACATTGCTTGTTTGTTTTTCCTCATGCATTTCTTTTACAACTTTCTACTTAGTGCTAGCCTCACTTTTTAGAAAGCTGAGACGAATTCACTCTGGAAACTAAGCCAATCTCTATTGTTCTATATGATTTCAGACATCAATGAGTGTGAAGGAGGAACTCACAATTGCAGTTCTAATGCAGTTTGTCACAACATCAACGGATCCTACAACTGCACATGTAAACCTGGGTACTTGGGAGACGGATGGAACTGTACAGGTGATGAATACACAAATACATAAAGGGCGTTTTTGTTAACAGGGGAAGTATCTTGACAAATTCGAGTTTTGTTCATGAAAGTTTAAGGCAAATTTGGAAGTAATGACCCACTTTGGAAATGACACAATAGGATCTTAACATTATACTAACAATAATTGGTCATAAGTAGAACAAAGAATGAAATTTCAGGACACGATTATGGTATCTTGGGAGACAAATTCATACGCTTAGTGAATAAAATGGAGGGTATCCAAAAATCGGTTGCGGGTCTATATACAAATAAGACGATGCAGGGGCAATAAAAGGGTCTTACGTTTGGTTTGGCAAGAAAGAATATTTTACCTACAGAATAAGTAGATTTTAATTTTTCAGCGATTGAGCATTCAGTTATTTACATGTAATTTAAAACTTATTTCAGATATCGATGAGTGTCTAGTAGATACACACCACAATTGCAGTTCTGATGCATTTTGTAATAACACCCACGGATCCTGCAACTGCACATGTAAACCAGGATATGAAGGGGACGGAAATAATTGCACAGGTGATATTTTTCGTAATTTAGTCATTTTGCGTGCCATCGAAAGCATTACTGTTTTTATTTTTCCGTAATAAGATGCTCTTTATCAATTTTTGCTAGACAGTAGACCATATTACCTCAGTTAAAATCGTAAGCGGAAAGTTTATGACGCTTTGTACCTTGTATTTTAAATGTTTTGTCTCCTAACATGGCCGGCATCAGAAACTTTGCTTTTTTGTTTTTTCTGATGCATTTCGTTTACAACTTTCTTCTCAGTGCTGGCCTCACTTTTTAGAAATCTGAGGGAAATTGACTCTGCAAACTAAGCCAATCTCTATTGTTCTATATGATTTCAGACATCAATGAGTGTGAGGGAATAACTCACAATTGCAGTTCTAATGCGGTTTGTAATAACACTAAAGGATCCTACAACTGCACATGTAAACCAGGATATGAAGGAGACGGAGATAATTGCACAGGTAATTTCTTTCATAACTTCGTCTTTTTGCATACCATCGAAAGCATTGCTGTTTTTATTTTTCCATGATAAGATGCTTTTTATAGCAATTCTTTGCTAGGTAGTAGACCAACATTGCTTCAAAATTTTAAGTGCACAGGCTTATGCTTAGTACCTTGTATTTTTAATGTTTTGTCTCCTAACATGGCTGGCATCAGAAACTTTGCTTGTTTGTTTTTTCTCATGCATTTCTTTTGCAACTTTTACTTAGTGCTAGCCTCACTTTTTAGAAAGCTGAAAGGAATTCACCCTGCAAACTAAGGCAATCTCTATCGTTCTTTATGATTTCAGACATCAATGAGTGTGAAGGAGGAACTCACAATTGCAGTTCTAATGCAATTTGTCACAGCATCAACGAATCCTACAACTGCACATGTAAACCTGGGTACTTGGGAGACGGATGGAACTGTACAGGTGATCAATACACAAATACATAAAGGGCGTTTTGGTTAACGGGGCAAGTATCTTGACAAATTCTAGTTTTGTTCATGAAAGTTTAAAGCAAACTTGGAAGTAATGACCCACTTTGGAAATGACACAATAGGATCTTAACATTATGCTAACAATTATTGGTCATAAGTAAGAAAAAGAATGAAATTTCAGGTCACGATTATGGTATCTTGGGAGACAAATTCATACGCTTAGGGAATAAAATGGCGGGTTAGTCCAAAAATCGTTTGCGGGTCTATAACAAACAAATAAGACGATGCATGGACAATAAAAGGGTCTTACCTTTGCTTTTGCAAAAAAGAATATTTTACCTTCAGAATAAGTAGATTTCAGTAATTTTTCATCGATTGAGCATTCAGTAATTTACATGTAATTTACATGTAAAACCTATTTCAGATATCGATGAGTGTGTAGTAGATACACACCACAATTGCAGTTCTGATGCATTTTGTAATAACACCCACGGATCGTTCAATTGCACATGTAAACCTGGATTTACAGGAGATGGAGAAAACTGCACAGGTAGTATTCTCAGTGGTACGTGTGTTCACGTAGGGCAGCAGAAACTTTATCTCTTCTCTTTCATTCTCTTTCCCAGTTACAACTTTCTTCTTAAAGCAATGCAACGACTGAGGTGGATGCAGACCCCCCCTTTTTTAGCCAACTTACTTGTTTGTCAGAACAGTTCAATTGGCACTTTATTCCCGTGTTATGCTCGTACCGTGCCAACTTAGTTTATTGTCTTTGATGTTCATCTATGATTTCAGACATCAATGAGTGCAAAGAAGGAAACCACAATTGCGGTTCTAATGCGGTTTGTAATAACACCAATGGATCCTACAACTGCACATGTAAACCAGGATATGAAGGGAGCGGATATAATTGCACAGGTAATTTCTTTGTTAACTTGGCCATTTTGCATGCCTTCGAAAGCACTGCTGTTTTTACTGCTTCCATGATAATATGTTCTTTATAGAAACCATTTGTTAGATACAGCTCCACAACGGCCACCTTGGGGAAAGAAGAAAGTGGCCGTTGAGGAGAGGTGACCTTTAGTAGAGGTTAGACTGTATTACCTCAAAAGGTAAGAAAGTTTAAAACGCCTTAACGTACCAGTATACAGTGGATGTACAGCTTCCTGTTTAGTGCACTGACCGGCATCAGAAACTTGATCTTCTTTGTTTTTTTGTGTTTTTTTTTCCTCATGTATTTCTTTTGCACCTTTCTCTTCAGTACAAGATTACACTTTGTACAGAACGTTGAGAGGAATCCACATTGCAAAGTTAACTTTTGTCATTGATTAATATGATTTTAGATATCGATGAGTGTAAAGCAGCAGAAGCCCACAATTGCAGTGTTAACGCGTTTTGTAATAACACCGAGAGTGCATACAACTGCACGTGTGAACCTGGGTACTTGGGAGACGGATGGAACTGTACAGGTAATTGTTTATTATGTGAAGAAACGTTTGGTGGATTGAGAAAGCTAGTTTCTTGCTCAACGTAAGTCTTATTGCGAGGGCTTGAGCAAAGTTAAACCTTAACAATAGTTGGAAGTAAACCCTCTTTGGAGATACAATCAGTTTTATTGACCAAGGAAGGAATATATTGCAAATATAGCCGTCTCTCATCGTCCCGTCACTGGGCCGGGACGCTCCACTAAAAGTCCCAGCGAAGGGGAGCAATAAAAAAATGGAAATGTGGTGGTGGTGATGGGAAAAAATGAGCGAAAAAATTGAATTAAGCCGATAAGGAGGAAGGGGCAGGGGTGGGCAAAATATTGTTTCTTTCTGAAAAGAGCTAGTTTGCCTTCGCCAACGTTAATATGTACAACTTACAGGCTTAGAATCATTGATGGGGAAGCGGTACAATTTATTGTCTTTAATGGAAAATGAAAGCGCCGGAAAAAGATCAACTCTCCACGCTACGGCAACATTAGCCAACCACTGGAGACTTTCCTTAGCTTCTATTCAACCAATCAAAAACCAAAACATTCATCGACCTAAAAATAACTAAACAACATTTCAAACCTTCTACACCACCTAGAATAGCATATTACCTGACGTGAGATCCTACTGCATTTTATTTATGACACAAAAGGCTATGACATCATAGGTGCTAAAGTATTCCCCCGCAAAGGAAGAAATAAAACATCCCTACTATACTACTTACCCCTTCGTATAAAAACACGTCGGAGCTTACCTTGGAGAATTAGGTCCTCTAAACGGAAAATATACCATTACCATTACCTGGATGTGTCTCAGTGATCACCACATAGGTTTCTATGAACTTTGAGCCACCGCATTTACAGTCCAGTATTAAATAGGGTGTGAACTTTAATTATACTAAGTTTATTCAATATAAAGTAATGGCTCGGCAATTCACAGATTGCTGGTTTGACCGGTTTCTTTGTGTTGGGGACCCTAGTGACGGTTGTCGTATGGCATTTAAAAAAATTCATTGCTCATTGATTTTAAGTCAATGCTCCAATATTTATCATTCTCATATTGAAAAATCACCGACAGACCAATAATCGTTCCCCTCCTAAACTTTAATTCTAGCCGATATTGAAACGCAAATGTCCCCCCATTAAGAAAGCCTTCCAAGTTTAAGCCCCTCAAAAGGCCTTACAGTAAAATGTTATCCGGGGGCTTACTCCCGGAGCTTATTCTTGAAATGATACGGTATTAACTATGGCCTCTCACGAAACTCAATCAAACGAAAGGCAACTAAATGGAGATTATCCCATGAAAAAAATGCAAATCAAGTAATATAGCTCTTCATCTCTATGAGCCAGTTGCTAATAATTCTATTTTACGAGCCGAAGTGACTAAAAAGGTCGGAAATGAGCATAGAAACGTTCAGAAGTCATGTGGTATTTTGATAGCCCGAGCATGTTATTAATTTCATACGTCATTATCGTATCGTCATTAAGACTCCTTCATTTTGAAGGAAGCCTTGATGGAGTACTGGAGGTAACAAGCTGCTTCGAGAGAGTGCTTAACAGAAATGGGTCTTACTTATGAGTCTTGAGCAGGATACCTCTGAAACAGCATTAGTGGTATCATGTTCCATCTGAGCGCTAGCCCTCCAAGTCCATTGCCGTCTTACCGACAAATGACCAATAGCACTTTGACACGCGGCAATAACTTCAATAAAGGGTCATTTTCTCGTGCTATGTTTTTATGCGCCTTAGGTGTTGAATCTAAACAAGAGGGAACGAGTCTCTTGATTTAAATAAAGAGTTGTTTCTCCCTATTTTTCTAGAAGCAGAATCCTGTAGTAAATTGCCGCAGTTTCTCGAGTGATAGACCGAGAAGACCTGGGTACGAGGTTGAGTTGTTTTGGTTGTGAAAACAAAAAAGGGCGGACATTTCACTCGTTTCAAGAGTAAGAACTAAGCGAAATTATAGCCAAAAACATGGCAAGAACACAACTCAAAGGGCGACATCTGCTATTTGGAGAATACTTGCGGAGCTGAACAACCCTAAACGTGCACTCAACCTCATTCATTAATTGTTAATTTAGACATCGATGAGTGCAAAGCAGCAGAAACCCACCATTGCAGTATTAACGCGTTTTGTTATAACACCGAGAGCGCCTACAACTGCTCGTGTGAACCTAGATACTTGGGGGACGGATGGAACTGTACAAGTGATGAATATACAAATACATAAAGGAGGTTTTGGTTAATGGGGGAAGCATCTTTTCAAAGTTTTATTCATGAAGGCGTAAGCAAAGTTGGAAGTAAACCTACTTTGGAAATGACGCAATAGCTAAAGATCTTAACGTTATAATAACAATTATTGGTCATAAGTAAAAAAAAAACGAAATTTCAGATTACGATTATGGTATCTTGGGAGACAAAGTCAGACGGTTACTAAATAATTAAAATGGAGGGTTATCCAAAAATCGATTGCGGTTCTGTAACAAACAAATGCGACGGTGCAGGAAGAATAAAAGGGTCTTACACTTGCCTTTGCCAAAAAGAATATTTTACCTCCCAGGATAAATAGATTTTAATTTTTCATCGATTGAGCGTTCAGTAATTTACATGTAATTTAAAACTTATTTCAGATATCGATGAGTGTGTGGTAGATGCCCACAATTGCAGTTCTGATGCATTTTGTTTTAACACCCACGGATCTTTCAATTGCACATGTAAACCTGGATTTACAGGAGATGGAAAAAACTGCACAGGTAGTATTCTCAGTGGCCAACGTGTTTTCTCTTATGGCAGAAGAAACGTTATCACTTCAGTTTCATTCTCTCCCTCTGTTACAACTTGCTTGTTATAGCAATGCAACGACAGTGGTGGATCCAGGGGAGGTGGATTGGGAGGCTAGCCACCCCCCTTTTTTTAGCCGTCTTACTTGTTTGTTAGAACAGTTCAATTGGCACTTTATTCCCGTGTTATCGGCGTGATTTTGTGTACAGCGAGGAAGAGAACACGTTTTGAAGGTTGCAATGTAATCATTTCTCTATTTCATTGTGACGTTGTAAAAATTTGCCGTGTTAAAGGTTCCCATTCATCCTTCCTCAATTGCAACGTTTTGGGGACGCCATAGGACAAGGTACCGTTATCACCCACTCCCTCTTAGCTTATAAAATCCTGGATCCGCGCCCAACTGAACGAACGCCCAGTGACTGGTTTAGAGGAATCACATTGCGTACTGAGCTAACTATTTGTGGTGTTCAATAATGTATTATTTCAGACATCGACGAGTGTGAAGCAGACACTCACGGTTGCGGTTCTGATGCCATTTGTAACAACACCCACGGATCCTTCAATTGCACATGTAAACCTGGATATAAAAGAGATGGAAAAAACTGCACAGGTAATTTTCTTTTTAGTGTCTGGTCTGCTCGCATGACATCAAAAGCTTTGTGTTTGTTTCTTTGTTTGCTTTATTTTCTTTTATTTCCTTAACAACTTACTTCGTCTGTAACTAAAAAAATGGGAAGTACATCTAGACAGCTGATAGGAATCTACCGTGCCAACTTAGTTTATTAAATTGTCAATGATGTTCAATTTTTATTTCAGACATCAATGAGTGTGAAGAAGGAACGTACAATTGCAGTTCTAACGCGGTTTGTAATAACACCAAAGGATCCTACACCTGCACTAGTAAACCAGGATATGAAGGAGACGGAAATAATTACACAGGTAATTTCTTGCGTAACCTGCGATCAGGCGCTCCTTCTTCCCTTTTTGTTTTGGACGCTAAGGTAAAAGGACGCCTGATACATTTACTTTCCGAGTCGTCGGCCCGTAGTCCAGAATCTGGACTTTTGTCTGATTGGTCGAAAAACAAAAGAGCTTTCCGAGCAGCGCACCGATTGGTTACAAGGCACATATCTGACTTCCGGTGCAATTAGATAAACTTTGTCACCTTCGTCTCTTCAATCACAGAAACGTGATCGAGGAGTTCATTTAGCAGTAAGCTTTAGTTAAGCTAGTTCTTAAAGGACAAAAATGAATACGTTTTTAGTGAATCAAGTCAACAATGTACAGAGAAAATCTTTGACAGCTGATAAGGACGAGTTGTTATTTGTCACCGGTAGGGGTATCCGCTATTTCGTCTTCGACGCTTTCTTGGTCTGACCAGGCAGAATTTTTGAAATTTGAGGAGCTTTGTTTTTGATTTTCCAGCTCATTCCCGACCGATTTCAACTGTGAAACACTATAATTTTTGACAATTTTACATCCGCTCTTTTGCAAACTGATGAAAGAACTTGAAAGATTTGTTACCGCTTCCTGTGAAATACAGAATTCTGTTGTCACACTATTGTTTTCAATGAATTAAAATTTGTTTGACTTGACGGTTCGAACAAATGGAACAAAGGTGCCACACAGCAACGGTACGGTTAGGCAAGATTCGCAATAACAGCAACATTAAATTGGTCTTTAAAATCTGTTTTTGCTAATGACTACCATATCAACATAGCATTCACCGCTTGCCTGAAAAGTAGATAATAAAATGGATTTCCATTTAGGCCGCCTTCGGTTGTGTTTTCACTTGGCCGATTTTCTAGCTAAACATTCTTTCCAGGGTTTTGTTTACAAACCGACTTTTACTAGTTGAACGTGACAACTGTTTTAACTGTGAAATTGAGCCCGCAATCTAAGCAGCTAGCTCAGAGAATACAAACTGCGGAAATTGCAAAAGCGCGCCATAGTCGGAAATTGGCCGGGGACGAAGCGCATGTAATGAGGGTTAAGACTCGCTGGCTTAAGACTCGCTGACTGATGAGGAATAAATGGTAGTGGAACTACTTGTGACAGGTTGTAATGCAGTAAATGGTTCTGTACACTGGTGCTCTGAAAAAGATAAGGACCTGGAAGAGGAACTGGAGAATCCAATGGGATCGGTAGGATTGCAAATCGAAAGAGATGATTGTTGGAATCGTTTGCCATATAGAAGTTCTCAAGCTCAACCACGAGGCGATTGTCTGGTGGTAGCCTGCGTAGCATGGCGGTTTGGTTGGCAGCAATAATGAGCGAGAAAAATCGTTGCTCCCGCCCCAATCTCCTCGCTGTTTCTCTGCCCTTGCCCGCCTTTATTACTTTGCGCGCCCGACAAAAACAGCCATTCTACGCAGGCTAATTGTCTGGCAAATAATTAAACCGCTTGAATTTCCGTTAAAATCTGACATGATAACTCAAATGTTGACAGATGCCTTAATTAGGGGGCGGCAGACCGCTTGTGAAGTAAATGTATCAGGCTTCTTTTTTTCCTCCTTTTCCCAAAAGAAAAAAAACGCCCTGTCGCAGGTTATGTCTTTCGTAAATTCGTCCTTTTTGCAGATGATCGAAAGATTTGCTGTTTTTATTTTTCCATCATAAGATGCTCTTTATAGCAAGTTTTTGTTAGACAGTAGACCATATTAACTCAAAATTGAAGGAAGAACTCAAAACTGCAATTCTAATGCGGTTTATAACAACGTCAAAGGATCCTAGCTACAACTGCACAACTAAACCTGGATACTTCGACCTTGACTTCGTAGATAACTTTAATTACCTAGGTTCCTTATATTGCCACCACTGAGAACGATGTCAAGAAACTACAAGGTCAGGCATGGGGTGCCTTTTGGAGATTAGAGCGTATTTGGAATTCTAACCTGCCGATTGCTATCAAGGTTTGCCTTTACAAGTGTACTGTTCTGAGTTTTCTTCTTTATGGGTCGGAAACATGAACTCTAACTGAATCACCGTGTGACAAGCTCAACACTTTCCAACTTAACTGTCTTCGGGTTATGTTGGGCATCAGTCGCCGTGACAATGTCACCAACCAGTCCGTATACAGTCAAACTCAAGCTCGACCCCTGTCATCTGAGGTCAAAAGGCAGCTTCGCTTCCCTGGCCACTCACTTCGCCGCGACAAGGAGGATCTTATGAACAGATTCGCCCTGTATGTACCATCTGTAGGCCGAAGTGTTGGCGGGCAGAAACGTTTGTTTTTACAACACATCTCAAAGGTCATTACGGGAGGCTCCATAGCACTGACGGAGCGAGAAATACGACACGCTACCGGGAGTACTGGAGACATCTGGTTGCCCCCTGCCGGGACAATCCGAATTGACCCGCAGACGAGCTTATAAATTCAAAGCCCTACAAAGCCCTACAAAGCCCTACAAAGCCCTACATAACCGTACATAGCTCTACATAGCCCAACAAAGGCGTACATAGCCGTACATAACCAAACATAGCTCTACATAGCCCCATGGTTTTCACAGTGACGTCATCAAATTGCAAAGTCAAAAAAGCAAGGTTTTACGAATTCTTGTTTACCCTAGGTTGAAGATAAATAGAAAATAAATCTTTGTACAAGTTTCCAGCCCCGAAGCATTATCATTTCGAAAATACAGCAATTTGCAACTTCCGAGTTTTCACAGTGCGAGGCACCAAAATAGGAATGCTGTCTCATTGAAAAAAGTCTCTCCCGCTTGATTTTCAGCAGTTTAACCATTTCAAGTATTAAAAAATGTCTCTATGCGCACGTAAGCTAGCTCTCGAGTGCAAATGAAGAGCTTTTATAGAAAAAGTGAACTCCAGATGTTTTTGTTGATTTCCCGCGGCTATATTGGTGGACCAAAACTGTCCACCAATATGGCGTCTCCATTCAAAGCTCTACAAAGGTGCGTGAAACGTTTCGGCAAATACCTCAGAAACTGTGGGCCACAAAGACCTGAGATTTGGAAAATTGTTTATATATTAGTCTTTTATAACATGTCATTTTCTTGGCTTCTTCCCCTGGACGGTTTCCAATTTATTTTTTCGTGCCGTGTTCATTGCGTGACGGTGAAAACGAAGAAAAGGCTTACATAGTCCTACATAGCTCTACATAGCCGAACATAGCCGTACATAACGCTGCATAGCCCCAAACTCACATTGAATATTCTAAAAACAGGTTTTATGGTGGTACGTTCTCGGCAGAGAATTGCAACATTAGATGGAGATATTTCATTGAGTGTAAATGGTTTAACGTTACAACAAGTCGAAACAACAAATTGTCTTTGCCTAACTATCGACCAATTTCTTACTTGGAGAAATCATTTACAAAGTGTTAGACAAAAGGTGGGATGTGGCATTAGAATTGTCTAGAGGATCAGGCCTTTTGTTGCTTTGGAGCACCTCATAAACGTATACAGGTCAATAGCTGAGCCTTATTTTACTTATTGTTGTATTGTTGAGGATAGTACTGGTGGAACGTTAGCAGAGAGTCTTCAAAAGTTGCTTCATATTCAAGACATTTGGTTGATATTCCGCATGAACTTGCGTGACTTTCACTTAAGGAAATGAGACAACATCATATGGCATTAATGGTGTTTAAGGTGGCCCGAACCTATTTATATGCGTGTTGGTTATGTTTTTGATTTGCGTTTTTCAGAATGAAAGATTCAACCGATTTCTATGAGTTTTGGCATTCCGAATAAATAATAATGAAAATTTACGAAAATGTTATTTGTTTTCTTGTAGATATGAAAACCTTTGAGATATGGGCATATATTTAAAACCCCATTTTTACGAAAAATGTAAATAACTTCGAGATCCCTCTACAGATTTTTCCCTAAGTTCAGCAAATAAGTCTCAGAGCTCCCTAGTTTTACCATCCATTTTTCAGCTGCAATGAAAACCCTCAGTATTTAGTAATTTCTTCAAGCTTTTTAGACTTGCCATGACATTCGCACGGGAAGTTTACCACTTGGAAATAACGATGAAGACAAATATGACAATCGTCTTATTCTTCTCATTGTCCCCGACGGCAAATTGCCTGTGCGAATGTGATGGTAAGTCTTAAAAGCGTCAATAAATTACCACATACAAGGTTTTCATTGCAGTTGAAAAATGGATGTTTAGAAGTGCTGGAGTTGGTGGCCTTATTTCTCTTCAAAACGGGAACCCGTGACGCTAAAAACTCTTGAGAGTTTTTCGTAGGAGCTATATTTTGCTTTGTTAAGATTTGTTTCCAAAAAAGAGGGACATATACAACGTAAGTTTGATGAATAGAAGTTCTTTAATATACTGACTTTCAAATGTCAATACCGCAGGCATTTTGTTACGGTTATAGCTTAGTGGATCTGTCTGTTCTAGAAACCTATCTACCTTAAAAGTCCTTAAGATTTAAGTTATAGCTACATAATAATACTAATCCTTTAGTTCCCTTTATTTTACTTTGCACTGTTTATTTGTGTTGGACGTGGCTGCATTGCAGTTTGTTCGTCGCTCAATACTAGGGCTTTTTCTAACAATTAACTATTAACCAGTTTTATTTGTGTTTTTATGCTTATAACACTCCCATTTACACACACCCTCCCTCCCTTCACCGTAACCACTATTTTAGTGGAGACTTGGGAACCCTTTTATTAGGGATTCCATACTACACCTGTAATGCCACACAGGTTGCTGGCCGAATGTACTGTTTTGGTATATTTTGTTTTACAAAGTTATGTTGTGGGTGCCTAATAGTAGCGGTAATAGTATAGTCAAGTCTTTGAACGGTTTATGGTGTTCCTGATACTTTCCATTATACAGTTTTTATCAAATGTTATTTTTACTCATAGCGGAGCTCCTTGCGCGCGCGATCGGAGCACCATAACTAAGATAATTTGGTAAACTATCCATCCGAGAAATTTTGGTTATGACGTCAGCGTACGTCCGTCCGTACGGACTTTCCAGGTAGTGGAAAGTAGTCCGCATGGACTCTTGGGGTAGGGGAAAGTAGAGATTTTTTGGCGGGAAATCGCATGGCGCAACGTCGCGCAATTATATCGCGCAAAATCGGGCAACTGGTTTTGAAAAAAGAAATTTCAAAGCAACTTAGAAAAAAGATTTTTCGACAGAGCCTTTATAACTTTTTATTACAACTTACGAAAGCTATTATGTCAAAAAACAACAGCAGAGAGAATTTAGCGTGTAGACGACAGGTTTTAAGCAAAGAGCAAAGAGAAGGTGAACGGCAGAGAGCAAGAGTCAACACGCGTAGAGCAAGCGAAGACGATCGCCAAAGAGAGCGCGTTAGAAGTAGAAGAAGAAGACAAAATTTTAGCAAAGAAAGTCGGCAAGTAGAAAGAGTCAGGGCGCGAAGAAGGAGAGAAAATTATAGTGAAAAACGCCGGCAAGCAGAACGAGACAGGGCTAGAATGAATAGACAAAGGCAATGCGAAAGAGAAATACAAAGGCAAAGAGAACGGCAGCAAAATATTGACATGATGACAGAAAGCGTTGTTTTAATGTTACTATGGCCCCGCGCTATTATCATTTTGATTTCAAACTGATCTCGGACGCAAAAATTCAGCCAGTCATTTGAAAATACAAGCAGGGAAGACAGAGGCTTTTCACTTTTCTCACCATAGTCACGCGTTGATCACGCTCTACGACCGTTTAATTTTTAAGCTCTGATTGGTCAAAATTTGACAGGTGAGTTCATGAAAAAAATTTATACAGCATCTTGAAACTTGTTTACTTCGACAGCTGAAGCTGACAGAGTTTTTTGTCCACTTGCGATGCTTTTTACTGTCTTTTTCCACTGGATGCATAAAATGAAATACAGCTGCTATCAACAGTCTTCTGTTATTCATGGCTGGTTTGTTTATTGAATTTTTGGTTGAGAAATGCGCCGCTTGTCAAAGTTGGAAATCCGATTTCGGATGACATCGTTTTCGCTTTTCACCTTGTTAGATACGGGTTGAAAAGTCCCTCAAGCGATTCTGGCCTTACTTGATAGCTTTCAGGAGCTGCATCTCGAATGGTAAGCCTTAGTAATTATTGTAAACAGTGTATGTGTTGTTTTTTTAATATCTAATTTCATGAAGTCGAGCGCAGTTTATGAGGCTAGTTTATGCACGTTTGTATGATCTGAGACAATGATCTGATCTAGTATGAGATTTTATAGAAGCTTACAGACCTTTAAAAAGCCTTTATTCGATATTTTCTCTTCGCAAATAGAAAGAAAAAACGTTCCGAAGAGTATTTGGTTATAATTTTAGCTGTAGAAAGAAAGCTTTGAGCGATTTTCTTGCCTCGAGTTCATCTTTGAAAACAGCAAACACCAGGAAGCCGGCTAAAAGCTTTAAACTTAAGCTTAAAGACTCAGGATTTTTAGAGATGCTTTATGCTTTAATACTTGTCTTCGTGAGTGAAAATTGTTGTCTCTGTAAATGTTCACCGAATTACATTTCTTTTATTGATTGTTAATAGTCTCTTGCAATTTTAATCGCTTTGCGGTTTGTTTTCAGTCGTTCATAAACATCGCTTGCAGGAGTACTCAAAATGCCGCGCGTATCAAACGCTTTTTAAGATTACACATCGTTAATATATAGATTTAGCCAGGGCTAAAAGCGAAGCTCCTACTAACTCGCATTTATAATTTAAATCAAACAATCGTAAACTTGTATTCCACAAATCAGTTAACTTTAGAGCTCATTCATGTGACTTTTGATGGAAAGGCTAAGTAATTTTAGAGAAAAATGATTTGCAAACAGTCCAAGCTAAGACTGAAATTAATTTGACATCCACTTGATAGCCTTATATGTACACCTAAAAAATAGCATAGCCATAATGGTTCTTGATCACAGTACATTAGGAAAACAAATCAGGCCGAATTTTTTGCGTTCGATAAGTTTACTTTACAAAATCTTGCCAACAAGTCTGGGGACGTGTAAACCGGTCAGTGTAAAACGCAGACTGCGGACTGCAGACTGCAGACTGCGGACCAGGGGTAAAATGCAGACTGAGTGTAAAATGCAGACTGCAGACTAAGAGTAAAGCGCAGGCTGGGGTAAAATGCAGACCGAGCATAAACTGTAGTCGTGGAGGGGTTTAAGGGCAAAAAAATCCCGCAAATACACGTAAACGAACACTTACTTGATGACATCTGCTTTCACAAATCCATTCCTTTCTTCTCTGGAACGTCGTCGACGACCCGAAAACATAATCGCAATCTTGAACCTTTTTTCCATTCGAGAGACTTCACGCCTCAACTTTTGATGCGAAGTTTTCGATATACGTGACCAGGGACCGTGAACTAGTACAACACCACGATGTTCACGCTTAAATGAAAGCTGCTGACCCAAAATACTGTACAGGAATTATGGCGATAAAAACGGGAGTAAGTCATTCCAACAACAAAGAAAAGATGTTCTGCAGGAAATTTGGATGACCTTTTATGAAAGTATTGCAAATCAAGGTACGCAGACTTAAGCTGTTTGGATGTTCATTGAAACTTCTGGCAAATGTGCAATTCACTTCGACTAGGAAGCGAAGTGTGTAACTGATACCGGCTAGCTATTTCACCGATTTGAAGAAGAAGGGGCACAAATGTTTAAAAAAGTCTACAGTCTTTATTCTGCATTTTACCCCAGCCTGCGTTATACTCTTAGTCTGCAGTCTGCATTTTACACTCAGTCTGCATTTTACCCCTGGTCCGCAGTCTGTAGTCTGCACTCCGCAGTCTGCGTTTTACACTGACCGACGTGTAAACCAACTTTTTATACTTTTTATACATCACATCTGAGGTGAAAATAGTACCATGAGGCGCTGTTTTTATCATACAGACCTCGGACAGAATGCAGTATTTCACAATTTTGCAATACAAATTGCACTCATTCAATATTCAGGACCGTTAAAAAAACCGTTAAAAAAATTTCCAAAATCATCTATACGGCGAGCCGGTTCTCACTTTTGACAAGCGCCAAAGTCGACTGTTTAAATTAAGATTAACACAGTTATACGCTTCAACATAATGGCTTTATAACGATGTGTAATCTTCAAAAGCGTTTGATACGCGCGGCATTTTGACTACTCCTGCAAGCTATGTTCATGAGCGACTGACAACAAACGGCACAACAGCGATGAAAATTGCAAAAGAGACTACTAACAATCAATAAAAGGAAAATAATTCGGTGAAACATATACAGAGACAACAATTTTCATTCACGAAGACAAGTATTAAAGTGTCTCTGAAAATCCTTGTTTATGTTTTAAGCCGGCTTCCCGGTGTTTGCCTTTTTCAGAGATGAACTCGAGGAAAGAAAATCGCTCAAAGCTTTGTTTTACAGCCAGAATTATAACTAAATATTCTTTGAAACGTTTTCTTTCCATTTGCGGTGAGAAAATGTCTGAAGGCTTTTTAAAGTTCTATAAGCTTATAATCAAACCTGATACTTGGTCAGATCATTGTCTCAAATCTTACAAACGTGAATAAACTAAATAGCCCCATAAACTACACTCGACTTCATTGAATTACATATAAAAAACAAACATCAAATAAAATAATTACTCAGGCTTACCATTCGAGATGCACTGAAAACTAAATCGCTTCAGACTTTTCAACCCTCTCACTCATCAAGCAAGGTGAAAAACGAAAACGATGCCATCCGAGATCGGATTTCCGACTTTGACAAGCGACGTATTTCTCAACCAAAAACCCGATAAACAAACTAGCCATGAATAACAGAAGACTCTTGATAGCAGGTGAATTTCATTTTGTACAATGTTCAGTGGAGAAAGGCAGTTAAAAACATCACAAGTTGACACAAAACTCTGTCAGCCTGAGTTTGACTAATAGTCGCGGGTCGCGTGTCGCGGGTCCAAAGTCGCGGTCGCGGGTCCAATGTCGCGGTCGCGAGTCCAAAGTCGCGGTCGCGGGTCCAATGTCGCGGCAGGGGAAAATGATTTGGGGTTCAAGGTAACTGAGTGAAAATGACTGATATGAACACAATATAAAGGGAAACACAGGCGTACGGGCCGGGGAGGCGAGGGGGGCTGCAGCCCCCCCAAATTTTGGGCAACTCAGATTTTTTGGGCAGCGAGAGAAAATTTGGGCAAAGCCAGTTTTTAAAGACGTCTCCATGTTTATTTAATAATTTAAAAGTCCTGACTATTAACATGAAGTCGGCGTAATAATCCAGTTACATTACATTGGTTGCCTAGCATGTGATAAGTAATTTACATATTTGCAGTTTTTTTTGTTGGGCACTATACTGCTTTGCACTAGCTGGAATGAGCTATTTCCAGTCATGAATTGATTAAAATAAACTTTCGCATAATTTTCTAGAATCATCTCTACTCGAAGAACAGAGTATGGCAGATAGCAATTAGCAATGGGTATGAAAATGAAGAAGTGGCTGACTAATTCTCAGTTTGAATTACGAGAAGAATTTTAATTCTTATAAAAAATCTATCGAGCGGTTTAAAATTATTCGCTAATTTGTTAAAGTAGACCGAAATGTTTACAAAACCGCTAACAAGAGTGTCTCGATACATACTAATCCAATCCTTCTTTCGATTCTAGCAATCAAGCAGAGCTATCTCCAAGTTCTTTCACACATGTTTTTAAAAAGATTAAAACTACTATGAGGTGAAATTGCAGGTCAAAAGCGCTTCGTTTTCTACAGATAACGGCCAAAAATCAAGATTTTCCTGTTCTTACCGTATTTCTAATAATAAAAACTTCATTGCAAAATATCTCGATAACGCTCTTAAGGTTTTGCTTAAAATTCACGAACATCGAGGCGACCGTATTGGAGAAAAAAAAGCTCCTGTGAACGATTTTGTAAGGTTCCCGTGCCGGGAATCATTGCTGAAGTAAAATAGGTAATGGGCGGGGGAGTCATTTCGTTGCTATGACAACTCCGATCCGATGTCATTGCAACCCTGATGATGACAAATTTTCATCTTAATACAACTGTGGTCGCAATTTTGCCAAATGATTGTTTATGGCGAAGTAGTTTATGCTCAGACTTGGTATTGACCCTGAAAAATCGTATCGAGCCATCTTCATATGCCAGGATGGCCTATGTTGTTGCAATATGGCCCTCATTTCTTTTCGACTCTTTCGTAAAAATTTGGGCAACTTGCGAGATTTTTTTGGGCAAATGGTTTACCGCCCCCCTGGCAAAAAATTTCCCGTACGCCTATGAAGGGAAAAAATCTTTTTTATGCACGATACTCTACGGTAGCCAATTTACAGGTTACGGATGTTAGAGTCAAGAAAATAATGTTTCAAGAAAAGGCCTAAAAGAAAAAGCTGGCCGACTTTTGTGTTCACCGCAAGTTTATTTGTTTTCTTTCTATCGGGCCCAGTTATGTGTAAATTCAGCTTTGAATATACTTATGCATAACAGTATCTGATAAAAAAGTTACCAGAAGTTACCATTGTTTTCTTCTTGTCTATGAATTGCTCACAGATGATTAGGGGCTCATTTACTGAAAAATATGCGATACACTTCATAGACTACCAATTAAAAACGTTACAACAACTTAAAGCCTTTTATTAAAAAAAGCGAACTCGGGCTAAAAAAGCTACGAGTCTGTCGGTAGAAGAAACGAGAAGTCTTATATTTAACAAATGTTTTCGGCAAAACTGAAAGAAAATGTAAATAGGCGCATGAAACTTCATTCAAGCGGTATTCAAGGCATGAATTTAATATGGAAACAAGTAATAATCCACAGAAAGGAGTCTGTTCCTCGAAGCAAGATTCTCGCTTAATGCTTTTATTTTTATAACTGAGACAGCAACCCAGAGTGTTCAATATAACTTCTTGCTCTCTTTACCTAAATGGCAACCAGGACAACCTGACAATAGGAAGCCATTCAATGTGCGTCTCAGTCAAATCTTGAAAACATGCATGGTAACTAAGTGAGTAAGTAGGTAAGGAAATAATAACGATATCATGAAGCTGAAAAAGAAAGTAAACCAGACACTGAAAACAGTAAGTTATCAACTCCACCAGAGCTAAAAAAAGACACTAAATTAAGTAAGTAATTCCAGATTCCAGGTACCGGATTCAAGTCTTTGTCAGTAGAACCAAGAGACTATGATCTATTCTCTCTTGGTAGAACTTGGATTCCGGATTTCAATCGTTAGTGGGAACAAACTCCTTTCTGTGGACAAGAGAGGATAAAGATCGAGCTTTATCCCGTCTTGCTGTGGATTATTACTTGTTTTTTTTTTAATTCATGCCTTGAATACCCGCTTGAATGTACTTTACTGGCACTACAAGCCCAAAACCTCTCCTCCTGTTTCCAGTTACTTGTGGTCGCAAACTCCCAAAATAAACTCTTTGCAGGAAGTTTTTCAACAAGCGTTTTTTTTATTTTTGCCGAAAACATTTGTTAAAATTGAAAGAGTTCTCGTTTCTTCTACCGACAGACTCGTATCTTTTCGAGCCCGAGTTAGCCTTTTTTAAAAAAGGTTTTAAATTGTTGTCACGTTTATAATTTGTAGTCTATGAAGTTTATCGCACATTTTTCAGTAAATGAACCCCTAAGCATTTGTGAGCAATTCATAGACAAGAAGAAAACAATGGTAACTCATGGTAACATTTTTTATCAGATACTGTTATGCATAAGTATATTGAAAGCTGAATTTACACATAACTGGGCCCGATGGAAAGAAAACAAACAGAACTTGCGGTGAACACAAAAGTCGGCCAGCTTTTTCTTTTAGCTCTTTTCTTGAGACATTGTTTTGTTTACTCTAACATCCGTAACCTGTAAATTGGCTACCGTAGAGTATCATGCATAAAAACGATTTTTTCCCTTTATATTTTTTTCATATCACTCGTTTTCACTCAGTTACCTCGAACTCCAAATCATTTTCCCCTGCCGCGACATTGGACCCGCGACCGCGACATTGGACCCGCGACCGCGACATTGGACCCGAAACCGTGACTTTGGACCCGCGACCCGCGACCCGCGACTATTAGTCAAACTCTGTCAGCCTCAGCTGTCAAAGTAAACAAGTTTCAAGATGCTGCATAATTTTTCCGCACGAACTCACCTGTCAAATTTTGACCAATCAGAGCATACAAATTGGACGTAGAGCGTGACCAACGCGTGACCTTGGTGAGAAAAGTCAAAAGCAACTGGCATGTCTTCCCTGCCTGTAAAAACTGGCTGAATCTTAGCTTCTGAGGTCAGTTTGAAATCAAAATTTTAATTGTGCGGCACATATAAAACACAACCTATTTCATATGAATTAAAAAAATTAAACTTGAGCCTGCAGTCATTTGAAAACTAGTAACTTGTCAGCGGATAACTTCAAAAAATACTCGACCTCGATGGTTCGACCCCTGAACCCGCGATACGGTCAGGTGATAGTGGTCAGCGGGACCTTGTTTTGACAGCTGTCAATTGATCACAACATTGATGTGCAATATGTGAGCAATATCAGTCTTCCTGTGCTCCCAAACTAGCTAGAAAGTGTGGGATTGAACATTGGTTTCCCTGTGGTGCGGACGGACGGGCAGCGGGCGGGCGGTGTACGGTCACGTGATTACCAAATTTTCTGGGATGGGTAGATTTACTTACCCATGGTGCTCCGCAGGCGCGCTTCGCGCGCCAGAGCTCCGCTATAAAACAATTAAATAAAAAAAATAAACACAATAAATTCTTTATTATGTTGAAGCGTAACTCTTTTAATGTTCACTGAAAATTTGGCGCTTGTCGAAAGTGAGAACCGGCTGGCCGTATAGGTGATTTTGGAAATTTTTTGAACGGTTTTGCTAAAAGCCCACGCGTGCTTCGTACGGTTCTGAATATTGAATGAGTGCAATTTGTCTTGAAAAATTGTGAAATACTGCGTTTTGTCTGAGGTCTGTATGATAAAAACAGCGCCTTATATTACTGTTTCACCTCAGATGTGATGTATAAAAAGTATGAAATGTTGGTTTAGACGTACCCAGAGTTGTTGACAAGATTTTGTTAAGTAAACTTGTCCAACGCAAAAAATTCGGCCTGATTTGTTTTCCAAGAATTCGTTTTCCAGGCCTGATCTACTGTGATCAAGAACCATTATGGCTCTTAAATGTGATCGAAGATGATTGCTATTTTTTGGGTGTATATATATGGCTATCAATTCGATGTAAGATTTTTTTTTTCACTCTAAAATCATTTAGCCTTAGCTTTCCCTAAAAAGTCACATATGTGCCCTTAAGTTAACTGATTTGTGGATTACAAGTTTATTGTTTGATTTAAATTATAAATTTCTTAATGTTAGCTTCGCTTTTAGCCCTGGCTAAATCTATATGTTAATCTCTTTACTTATATGCTAATTATTAATAGTTGATGTGTTTGCATACACCTTAATCAGGGTAAAATTACTTTCTATTAATTGAATTTCCTTTTTCCCGGGACTCGACACTATATATATTTGTGCCAGACATTGCTGCATTAGGCAATATTCACACTACATATAATTACACTTCATCCATTAATATACTACCTCAATACCTCCTCTTACTCATTTTATGATTTTTATTTACCCAATACTGTAGTGGACATAGCTCCATAGCAGTTTGTGCGTCCCTCACTATTGTTGTACTCTAACCCACTTATGTTTTTCATTTTGTTTCTTTTTGCTATATTACTGTAGGCTTAACTGCATTGCAGTTTATTAGTCCCTCAGTTACTTTGTTTAACCATTATCCTCATCCCCTGCACACACCATCTACTCCTTCACCTACTGATTCTATGGGTGGAGGGGAACCCATGTATTTGGTGATCCCTTTCCCAACACCCGGCAAGCCCCAAAGGTTGCTAGAGAAACTACTGTTCTTTTTTTAGCAAAGAAAAAAAAATTCCTCTGCACGTGCATCACACTTTTTGGTACCTTTTTATCGACGTCCTCTTTCCCAGGATACGAAAGGAAAGGGATTCTGGACACCATTTACATAAAGGAGCACGAAATTTTGAAAAAAAATCCAATGGTTCACCCCATTCCGTTTGCCAAAGCTTAAGAAGATGTCGGCTGTCGTTCGAGGCGATGTACGTTTTTTTACTCATTCTAGTATCTTTATCACATTTGGTCACGCTTTGAAGCGGCTCTTCTACTACATGGTGATATTAAAATCCATCATTTTTTACATCGGATGATGGAAAGCACCGAGACCGAGGCCGTGTTATCCCGTTTTCCTGTTATTCGGAATGGACACTTTGACTTTAGGTCCTAATTGGTACAGCAGTCAATACAAAATGGTCACATGACCATGCTGGTCACATGATCAGTGGTCTTGTGACCTAATGCAGTCGCCATTTGGACAATGATAACGATGTTGTTGCTGTCGAAAAGACTATTTAAAAAGATTCACCTCGTTCAATAAATTAATTTTTTGCAACATACACTCAGCTTCGCTAATATCGTTATCTCAACTTATTTCTTACAGCGTCAACCTGCAAAGACATTTATGACAAGAATTTGTAAGTACAAGGGATAGAAAACAACCTACTGTAAAAAGACACTGAACCAAATTTTGAAATATATTTTTAAAATCTCTGAGCTTTCCAAACTAAAATTGTTAAAATCTCTTCTTAATTTTCTCCACTAACTGGTAACTTAAATACACGAAAATCGGGTAAGTCAACGTTGAGAAGATTTTCTGGATGACAAAGAATGGAAATTGCTATGAAGTCAGTAAGAAAATATCAACGAAATTAAAAAGAGGAAAATAGCAGTAAATTAAGTACAGTAAGCCATACTCGTATTCAACACCGAAGGTCGGTAATAAAACAACAAAATGAAAAGGAGGAAAGAAACTTAATTCATGAATTTATTCAGGAGTGTTCGCTATGGTCAAGGCAATTACAGTGTTCAGTTTTTGTAGTCAGTGAAATGTACTTAATCTCTGAACTATACAAAAATTGGAGTTCCTGAAGCTTAGGCAAGACCCTGAACTCATAGCAGAATCACTGCAGATAGAACCAAAAGATTGTAAAGGGCAATTAGTGAGGTAAGTCGATTGCTATAGTGTTAAATGTGTGCACGACAGAAGCAAGTTTCAGATGTTTTCCTTCACTTCTAACTATCCGCTCAATTCATCTCCTTCGTAAATAATTTTTTTTGTGAATAAAGGTATTCTATCTGGTGTACAAAACCCCGGAGTTAAAGACAAGACAAATGCTAAAAGACATTGTACTTTAAAAGTTGTAAAAGCAACCCAATAACGTAACTGTCACATAAAAACCAAATACGTAATACAAGCAGACACAATTCTATATTTATTGGGTTATATGTATCGAGCTTTCCAAGGTTTTTTGCACAACATTTCGCAACGTCGTTGCAGATTCAGCTCAACTTTGGCTATCCCGACCTGACTCCAAAACATATTCCCATACCCATAACAAAGAAAGGCATACCTTATTCTAAATTCGCCAGATTTCCTAAGAAATTAGTCCGCTCTAACAAAAGGAAAAGTAGCTATGTCATTCTGAATGAACTTAGCCATTTTGGTGGCATGTTTGACCAGGTCCAAAGGAAACGCAGCGTATTTGCTGGATGTTGGGTCTAGAAAGGTTCCCGTATACTGTCACATGACCATGCAAGATCTTGATGCATGCAAAGGAGGGGGATGGACGCTGATAATGAAGATCGATGGCTCAAAGGTATTAAAAGTTAAATTTTTAAAAGCTGATTAACTACGTGGTCGCTCATTAACAAGCTTACTCTCCCTATTAAGGAAAACTTTTAATGCTAGTCAGAGCAAAATGCAAGGAGTTCAATGCTTACCTGTTTTAAGACTAGTAGATGAAATATATATTCAGCTTAAGACAAAGTATGAACAAGGAAATGGCAGCAGTAATAGACTAGACAAGTGAGCTCAAGCAAAGGCGTTGTGAGTGACTCACGTCAACTGGAAATGATGCCTTCTCCCTTTTATCATGCCTTAACGCTACCAAATTTGTATTGCTAAGTGTGTTAACTCAAACAGAGACGATTTGGACGTAAATCTCGGCAAAAGTACTGCCCAAGAAAAGACGTCTACTTTCGGTTGACATGCGTCGCTCAAAAACGTCTTTGCTTAAATTCCCCAGTGAGACCAATTGAAGCGACTAGACCTGACTTTCAGACCATATTTCAGTTCCCAAAGAGATACAACAGCAAACTGACCAACTACTCTTTGTTTCAAATGCACCCCCCAGGACACGTTTCGTTACTATTCTGTTCTCTGGAAGAACACAAACGACTTCAACCTTCTAGGTGGGAAGACTGGGTTGGACACTAACGAGACCAAGTTACCGACTTATTGGAACACACCGTTTAACAAGATCTGTCTTGGAATGAAGGTCGATCAGCATTTCAAGTCTGTTGTCATCAAACATCAAGCCACATCCCTGTACTCACTGATCGAAGATGGCAAATACCGACCTACTTCACTGGGCCGTGACACGTGGAAGGAGCTCATTGGGTCTCACGCCTCTTTGCAACGCAACTGTAACAAGGAGGGATTTAACGTTCGATGTAGCGTTGGTCGCCATTCCAAAGCGAGAATTGGTATCGTTGCTAACAATGAAGACGATTGTGGCACCTGCGACTCCAGAATCGGGTTTGGCACTGGAGGACATCCTGATGCTTCCAACACGTGTGGCAACCAGCACATCACAGCGATGGGATACATCTTGGTCCAATAACAGCTGTAATTCGCTGAGAAACTGTTTTCTAACCGCCGTCTAAAAAGGCAGAAGTGGGCCTTAAAGACAACTAAGATACTTTAGATTGTTGTAATATGTAGTTTTAATCGAAGAAAGGATTAGCGCTGAAATAAAAAACTGATTCTACAAAAAGACTGTTCTTTGACTATCTTTCTCTACATCATTTCTAAAAGATGAAGGATCACCTCAGGTTAAAAGATAACTAAGCGATCCCGACGAAAGAGTACCGACCGTGACGAGGTAATCGACAAGAGCCGTAGGCAGTATGATATTCATCCCTGGGTATTGTTATTCATGACATTATAAAAGGGTATGGGGAATCAATCCGACCTGAGACAAGCCCAAGACAGACTGAATTGAATATAGGTAATGTGGAACCCGTCAACACTTACTCGCTCGGGAGAGTGTATGGGTCGCCAATCGCCCTGCATGTCGGGCAACGGTAGTGAATGGGAGAAAGCGTGCCAATGTTTTACTTTTTATATCATTAATTAATTGTGAAGAGACCTAATTTTAGTAAGTTTATATCATGGAATGTTAAAATTCAACGTTTTCATCGATTGGACAATTATGTACATCGATATGGACTTAGCCATAATTGTCACCATTGACTGGCTTCTATGAAATTACAATCCGTTTGATATAAGCTTCAAATAATTTGTAAGCGGAACCTCAACTACGTTGCAATAACTAAGGTAGGAAGGATTAGTGAATGGTGTAATGCTCGTGGTAAAGATTTTGACGATAAATAGAAGCTTAATTTGTGAATTATTCCAATAGACTTATAACTAGCCACATGAAAGGAACTTTCGGTTTTCAGGTAAAAATTTCAGCAGTTTTCACTTCATCTTTTGTTTGGTTTACCAGTTTATTCAATTCAGTAGTCAGTAGATCAGCCAAAAAACTCTGCATATTTGCTAGACAACGAAAAACAATGCTATCAACAGCAAATAAAATCAGTTGTTATATCATAGTTGATAAGGTGAAATGGTTCAAGCCTATCAGATCTCTTTGTTATACATGTATCTTTGGACTTAACGGCTCACAACATTTAAGAGCAACCAATAAAAACGTTGCATTAATTTATTCAGTCACAATTAATGAAAAAACAACAAAGGATTGTGCACCGTCAGGATGTAAGGATCCTTACATATATTAATTTCATAACCTTACATATATTAATTTCATAACCTTACATATATTAATTTCATAGTCTCCTCCACTGATGTCATAAATGGGGCAGATGAATTGTTCATATCATTGATGTAAAGCAGAAAATTAGAAAATTGAAGTTCCTGATAAAGAATCATGAGAATACGATCACTTCTGTCAAAAAAACCGCGAAAAACAGACGTCAGCCGAAAAAACTCAGCGAGCAAACAGGAAACCATCCATATTTTGCCTTGGTACTGGGATGACACGCTCTAGATCTCTTGTACGTGTTGGATGGTATTTTCAAATATGGCTGCATTAGAAGCACAGTGATTCCGCGCCTGCGAATATGACTGCCTTTCAACACTCCCCGCCTTTGGGGTCGTGCTCCCTTATCCAAATAACCTGTTCTAGACCTTCAGATGGTGCGGAGCGAGTTTAATCGTACGCGAGGGTAGTATTCACATCATAGATTGAGCCTTGGTAACGACAGTACCCGAGGTCCCTGAGCCATTAGACAGGCTTCATTTACAGCCGATGATAACTATCGAAAAGATTTTTTACCTGCTTTTCCTTGCAGCTTACCATAGGAGCCGATTTACTTGTTTAAATGCCAGGCAAAATCAAGAGGGGGAGAGGGGGAGAGGGTGGGGGGTTGGACACGAGCGGGAGAATGGCCTGCGTGGCACTCGCCGGATTTAGGGCGAAGGAGGCGCGTTCCCCTCGCGCGGCCTGTTAAGTAAATAACAGCCGGCGGCTGCAACGCAGGCTAAGGGGAGTACAAGTAGAAAAAAAAAACAAAAAAAAAAAAACAGGTCAGTTGTACACTTTAGCTTTTAAGGACACAAATAGGGGTCATTGTGCCAGGCGTTCCTAGCGGAGACCGTGGAAACTGGGAATAAGAATCTTTGCGTGATCGAAGCCACGCATGTTTTGCGAAGAAATCTTAGGAAAGATTAAATGTAGGGTTTTTCCGAAACGTGTCGGTCCACGAATTCTATCGCTTCACAGCGTCGATTACTTTGGAACAAGTGAACTGTGGGAGTGTGTTCGAGCAACTCGTTCGCTTCACGATGAGGTACCAGGAATCTGATTTACATCTTGCCTTTATTCTTCTTAATCTTCTTACAAGTTCTACTTACACAGCAACTTTCTCAGTTCTACCAACTTCTCTACTCTTCTTCTCCTACTCTTACTAGTTCAAGTATAGTAGCGGTTTTAATAGCCAAAGCTAGACATGTTTGGGTTAGCTGACCGAAAGAGATTCTATTGTATATCTTATCGCTAACATTGCAACAGGTTTGCTATTATTAGGGAATAGATTAGCTCACGCACAGCCGCGACTGACAAGTACCAAAGATCCAAGGTCAGCTCTAACACCACAAACACGACCACCTGTAATAAACTAACATCTGACAATGCCAAGCGAATAACATTCCTAATATTGCAATAAGCAAATTCGCGAGCTAAGCATAAATTCAAGTACAAGTAAAAACAAAAGATCAAAACATGAAAACAGTACGTGGACAAAAACAAGACTTAATGAAACAAAAACTAAACTTAAAAGATAAGATAGATCTGTCTTAAGAAAATAACTTTCAAAATACTCCACAACATCATATCCCCCCTCCCTTAGAAAAAGCATCGTCCTCGATGCAAAAGGACGTAATACATATAAATTAGTAATAAGTGCGTAAATTATCAAAACCAAACTGTCACACTACACAATATCAATTAAAACAGGTCAACTGTTTAATGTCAGCAATAGTTCAGTGTTCAATGCATTGTTCTTGAATCTTGTGACTTGAAAACTGGAGCTAAGTAAATTGATGACAGTGTTCTTGTGAAGGACTTGACTTCAGAACCACTTGAAAACACTTGAATTAACAGCATAAATCATCCTGTAGTAGCATAAGGAACGGTTGCTAGAAATGCCATTTCAACTTGAATGTACCGGACAACGCACACCTGGAAGACAAGGCTATCTTGTTCGTAAATGTTATGAAACAAAGCTCCAAATGAAGCGAAATCGTCTGAAGAAGACAGAAAGTACTGGCCAGTGATAAGTATCAACAAGCACAGTTCTGCTTAACTGTAACAAAGAAGGGGTCAAACTGGACCCAACAGAGTAGCCAATGCCATGCTGAGTGATCAAAGTGTGTTTAGACTTTTTGGAGACAAACAATTGGGTAAAATCACCGACAAGCCATCGAAGAACAATTGAAGAATCGGTCATTGAATACATGGCGAAATACCAATGCAAGCAACTTTATAAAAAAAAAACTATTACAAAGCGCGTAATATATCTAATTATCTAATTTCCGACGTTTAAGGATAATACCTATTTTACACAAACGTATTAAACAAAATAGCCACAGAAACAAAACATAAATATAGAAGCCAATAGATCAAAAGATTTTAAAAAGACATTAGATGCAATAATTTCACGTGCGCATAACTTGATACTGAAGATAACTTAACTTGAACTTCTGAAGACAAAAACTTGTCAAATTCATGATATAATGTAAACAACAACTTACAAAAAGATTATAGAGAGACTTGAGAAACGGAGAGAAGGCGTTCAGAAATTCATGGACCAAAAAGATATTTTGCCTTTGGGTGTTACCGAACTCAATTCATGGGTAAGAGAAAATCAAAAAAATATAAGCCAAGAAGTAAGGTAGACTACAAAAACTAGAATTATTTTTGTGATTGAAGATAATTATCAATGACACGTCTATCCAAAATATGGTGTTCCGGTTCCCACGTTGGTGGTTCTTAGGAAAGGTGAGCCACTTGACCAAGTACTTAACCTTTCCATTTCTCTTTCGATGTTTTAGAATTTTTTCAGCACTGAACACAGTTTCATTGTCGATAACAATTGCTTCCGCAGTTGATTCTTTTGCATTTTGAAGTTGATTCTTTGTCTTTTCTTGGTCTAATTCTTTGTTTACCTCTTTCTCTTTTTGAGGCTGTGGGGACAGTGGCACCTCAACACTAACTGTCTTTAAGTCAGTGTCTTTAGAATTCGCTTCAGCAGAAATTGGCTCAAAACAATCTTTTGGAATATCCGATTCATTAATGTACGCCTCGGCAGGGTCATCAAAAGGCGGAGGATCAATTGGTCTCAAACTGGGATCAACAAATGGCTTCATACGATTTGCGTGACACAAAAAAGCAACTTTTTTTATTGGTGATCGTGCGTAACTTAAAATGAACCGGTGACAATTTCTCAACAATTCTGTATGGACCCAACCAATTATGCATTAACGTTTTGGATAACCCTTTTCTAGTTCTCGGTGTATAAACCCAAACATGTTGTCCAACTTCAAAAACAGGTTCTTTTGTCTTTTTATCGTAATAATCCTTCATTTTTTGTTGTGAACGTTGTAAATTTTGTCTCGCTAAATTTTGAGCCAATTCGACTTTCTCGACAACACGTTTTCGATAGTCAAGGAGCGAAGTGCTTAAGTCATCAGCCACAGGAGGCAAATACTTAACGTCAATTGGTAAGCGTGGCTCTCGCCCATAATGAACGTAAAAAGGAGAATCCCCAATTGCATGTAAAACAGAAGTCCTATGAGTAAACAAAATAAGCGGTATGAACTCTTCCCAATCTTTCTGGTTTTTGGAAACGTACATTGACAAAGACTGACACAAGGTAGAACTAAACCTTTCTACAAGACCATCGGTCTGTGGGTGATAACGAGAAGCATTGACCTTTTGAATTTGAAATATTTTACAAACTTCTGCAACGACCTTAGACGAAAAGTTAGTTCCCCTGTCAAAGAGCAACACACGTGGAGCCCCATATCTAAAGATAATTTCATCAATCAAAAGACAAGCAATAACAGTTGCTTCGACACTAGGCACTGGGAATGCTTCGACACAACGAGTTAAATAATAGCTAAAAGCTACAATATACCTACTGCCTCTACTAGAAGGTGGAAAAGGACCTAAAACATCAACAGCCACTCTGTCAAATGCACCCTCGACTGGAATTGGAAGTAAAGGCCCGGGTGCACATACCTTTCCACCAGTATCTTTGCTTAAGTTTACTAAAACTTTGCTCAAGCCAAAATGAGCACCGGCAATATGATCATGTACATTAGAGAGAATTTCAAAACGTAATTCAGCTGGGACAACAAGCTGAGAAAACGATTCACGAGCATTACGCCTTCGATTAAAATCAATGTGGTAAAGCAAACCATCTTGACCGATATAAAAATTATCGCTTGTGAGTAAAATCTTGCGTGCATCTTTATCGTTAGTAGGTAGGATATCATTCTCTAGAAAATCAATCATTGCAGCTAATTCAGGAATTCTTCTTTGCATTTCTTGAGTGTGGGGCGTTTGAGGTTCTTCTTTCTTGAGCGACCTTATTTCACAAGAATCATATGGACGTCTAGACAAACAATCAGCATTACCATGGATTCTACCAGGGCGATGAACAATATTAAAGTCATATTGTTTCAAAAGTAAGCCCCATCTAGCAAGACGACCAGAAGCATCTTTAACATTCATTAACCAACAAAGAGAACTATGATCTATAACAACAGTAAACTTATGATTGTGTAAATAAGGCTGAAATTTCTTAATACCCTCAACTAATGGGAGAGCTTCTCTTTCTGTGGTACTATAATTTTGCTCTGCCTGATTCAAACCACGGCCATTGTAAGCAATCACTACTCTTTGCCATTTTGAATTTGTGCCAAGGTAAAACCGATACCAGTAGAGCTAACATCAACAAATAGCAAAAATGGTTCTCTACAATTAGGATATGCCAAAATGGGTGCAGAAACTAAGGCACGCTTAAGCTTGTCAAACGCCTTGGCACAAGCTACCGTCCAAACAAAAGGAACGTTCTTCTTTGTCAAAGCATTCAAAGGGTTGGCAATATGTGAAAAACCTCCTACAAAACGTCTGTAATAATTAGCAAGACCTAAGAAACTTCTCAATTCCTTCAAATTTGTGGGGGTGGGGAATTCCTGAACCACCCTTACTTTGTCTGGGTTAGGACTAATACCTTCTGGCGTAACTACGTGACCAAGATACTCTAATCTTTGTTTAACGAAACTGCATTTCTTTGGATTCAACTTAACATTGGCGTCACGCAAGCTTCTAAAAACTTCCTCCAAATGGACTACATACTCATCTACAGACTTAAAGAAAATGAAACTCTGAATATTGTTTTGGCTGTTGACAAACGTCTGAAGAATTATGTTGAGCATCCGATGAAATGGAATTTTTGCCAATCTCAAATGTTGCTAAATCATTATCAACACGCTCAAAATGTGCCAATTTAGTCCTCCGAAAAATTTTAACTGGTTGAGCGGAAGGGTTTACCATCCTAACAGGAATAGTTGCATCACTAGAAACCTTTACGAGCTCTGACAATCCAAAAACTGAGTAACGGTGAGGTAAGTCCATAAATTTCATTGGCACTGGTGTTTACCCCTTTCGGCATTGAACTTAATCTCCCAACGACAACGACTTCTGATTGAGCGGGAATAGTAAAAGAATTATCAGAATGCACTGACAAAATACATTGATCAAAAACTTCAGCATCCAAATCATAACCAATACTATCAGCAAAGGGAAGGGGATCCTCGGGGTGGGAAAATTCAATGATGTTCTCCATAAAATCAATTCTCGAACAATATTTTTGAGGAAAATCTCTCCCCAAAACAACGTCATGAGTTAAATCTTTGATAAGATAGGCTTCAAAAGGAAAAACATCCGACTTAATAACAAACTTGAGCCATACTTTACCAAGAACACCAAGAGGAGAACCACTTACAGTCGTTACACTACTGGTCGACGAGGAATCTAAACAACAATTTTGGGACTAAGATAGTTGTCCCAAACTTGCAAACTAATTCTTGTTACAGCTGCTCCTGTGTCCAGGAGTGCATGATAACTATTTCCTTTTATTGTTACACTTACATTAAAATTGTCACTCTCGGAAGGATGAATAGAATCAATTTTACTGGATGTCGCAGGCAAAGAAACCGTGTTAGTCACGTCAGTCACATATGCCCTTGTCTCTGGGCTACTTGCGACAGATAAGCCACGACACTCACTACAAACATTGTTTTTAGTCCCAACGATATTTACTTCCAAATTTTCTTCATTTTTAGACTCAGGCGCCAACTGTTCCACCTTTTTAATTTCTTTTATACTGACTTCTCGAGATAAATTTTCACTTGAAGACTTCTCATAAATGACTTCACTTTTAGGAGAAAACATAGGTACATTTGGCGAATGACCATTTTCTTTTTCATTTGGCGACGACGTGGCGATTACACCATCAAATTTTGTTACGACCTAAAAAAGACACTTAATAACTCCAAACACAATATTTTCATTAGGGACGTTTTGAGGCTGGCTAATTTGAGAACGCCCATGTTGACATGTGACGGTAACTTGAGCTAAGTCTGACGAGAT